TCAGATTGACTGTGCTCTAAAATCCTCTTCTTTCTTTGCAAATGAAAGCTGAAAAATAAGGTATACATATGTCGAGCCACATTTTGAACAAATAATTTTGCTGACAGAACTTTTCCCATGAATTAATTGTTCACAGGAATTTTTTTATGCAGGCTGCAGTTGTCCCTGTCAAATACATTTTTGTCAAATACCAAACTATTGACTTTTCTGACTCTTATTGGTTTGAGCTATTGGTTTTAGACAGAGAACTTAATGCAGCGCATTATGTGTGTGTTTAACAGCCAGTTAGTTTCCTGTTAAATTTTCTTTTAAATCTGCAAATCTTCTTTTTGAAAATACTGCCTGCAGTAGCAACAGTTGTTTTGTTTAAAGAAGAAATATGACTCCAGCAGTGTGGTGCGGTGGTGCCTGGTGGCAGTAAAATTACATTGTATTGCCTCAGGGGGCAGTCTGCAGTTACGGGAAGAAGGGTCAGCCAGGGTTGATGAACTGCATGTGAACGTCATCACATCAGTCACTGTTACTCCTCTGCTTACAGTATAATTAATGTCAACAACCAGCCACAAAAGTGTCACTGTAATCCATTATTGTAAAATGTAAAGAACAGTGTATTTAAATGATTGAGGTCATTCATTTGTATGAAAAAATGCATTTTTAACATAAAAGCTAAGGATTTTTCCTTTTTCTTTTTTTCATTAAAGTTGAATTTTCTGTATCAAATGAAGTAACAGAGCAATTTCAAACGTCGCATTTCTTTTATTGACAAGAAGTCAAGAAATAAGAAAATGTATTGACTTGATATCGACCTTACTATACATATCTATATCTAAATATTTATATCTACATGCATATATATATATACAAATCTATATATTGTATATAGATATGTATGGATATATACATATCTATATCTAAATGCATACATATATCAAGATAGATCTATCAATCCATCCATGCACCTACCCACCCAAATTTCCAGTGCAATTTTCTCATCTTTCTGCAAATTTTATTCATTTATAATTCTTTTTAAACTCCCTGTTTACACCACACCAGTTCCGTTATTTAAAAAAGAAACATGACTGCAGCAGTGCAGTGTAGTGGTGTCTGGTGGCAGTAAATTTATATTACATAGCCTGTTTTTGCGCATCAGAAAAATGCTCTGCAGTTAAAAAAATGTTTCCATGTAAATTTTCAAAGATTTTAAAGTTCTCAGTATCAGCTTTGAATTATAGTAACATTTTGAGAAGATTTTCAGGCTAGTAAGTACATATGATTGCATTAAAGTGCCCACATCCACTCCTACTTTCCCTCAACTTTTAGATGCATTCCCTTTCCAACATACCTGAATCAAATAAAGGCTTTGTAGACTTCTCTAAAGCTGAATGACTGATGAGGAGATTCAGCAATTTCATTCAGATGTATAAAAACGGGATAAAAGTTGCAGGATGGCTACACTCTGGCATCTCTGTATTAAGAACATAATCAAAGATGTGTTTTTAGGTGAGACTGTGCAGAACTTTGGGCAGCAATTATTTTCTGTTTTCTTTGAACATGTCTGCAGATTTTCTTCTCAACAGCTCTGATCATGTCTGAACACAACCATCATTTGTCATTGCAAAAATGTTGGAGGAACCTTGACTATGATAGCGGTTAACTGCTAATATCAATGTTCTGAGCAGAATAAATATAAAAAACAACTGAATACACTGACAACAGTAGACTATAACAAGTAAAGACTTTCTATGCAATCGCTAAAACATGACTTAAAAGAAATTCGACTTCACAATTTAGCACCTTAAAATTGGACCTCCATTTCTTTATAAAGCTCCTGCTCTTTCTGTCACTCTGCCGTCACGACATTTCTCCATTAAGCCTTTAAAGAGTTTTTTTTTTTACCAGTGTTGCATTGAGAAGATGCTCATACAATGACCTCAGTGGATACCCAGTTCCACCAGGTTTGTTAATTGCTGCTGTCGCTAGTCTGACAGAGCTGAGTGGGTCACGAGGGTGACTCCCATTAAATTGTGTTTTTTTTACATCAGACGCAACATGCATTGGGTTCAATATATTTTTATGCAAAGACATTGTTGTTACACTTGGTGGAGACGCAACACAAAATACTTTCTTCCTTTATTGCAAAAAAAGTTTTCAGATTTTTCTTTGTAAATTTTCTGATTATCTCAAAAAAATGTAAAACCATGTATCACATGAAACACCTTCTGTTGATCTATCACATAAATTCTCAAAAGAAACTTTTGAATTTATTGGTTGTAATTAGAGCTGAGCAATTAAATGATGGCAACACATACTGCAAAATATTTTTTTGTCGATAGATAAATGAGAAAGGGTCATTATAGACCTTCACTATACAGAAAAGATTACTAGTTAGTGAGATAAAATGTAAAAAGTGGCACTAGGTATGCATATATATTTTTGCAAGAGTCTTTTCAGACTTGTGAAGGTCTTACTTTAACTCTATAAGTTTAAGGCAAAGCAACATTATTCACTTGACCAATCTCAGTTGCTGTTCTCGTTCTCTTACTTTCTTCCATCTGATTTGGGATGAACTGCTGAAGTTACTCATCCCAAACATGGTGCCAAATATTTTCAAAAAGTCAACGCGAAACCTGAAAATAGCGCTTCCCTTCTTTACTGCCCACCAACTATTCTTGAGTCTTGTTGAGAGGCTTTCCCTTCTGGTGTACCTGACCTGGAGCAGCTGTGGATGTCGGGATGTCCGGGTGCTTCCCGGCATGTTAGCAGGGAATCACCATGTTGACAGCCCCACTTTGCACTACAGTTTCAGTCATCTCACATTATGTCTCCCAGTTAATTCATGCTTGTCACTTGTCACCAGGCAGGACGAGGCTGCTGGGACTTCTTTGGATGTCAATATGAAATTACTGTCTTCTTGAGACACCCCATCCATCTCGCTGCTTTTGCTTGCCGCAGGTGAACCCCCTGCACATTGAGGGAGCATGAGGTAATAAGAATGACAAGCTGCAGGACGTAAGCAAAGGTTGGAGGTTAATGTCTTTGGCAGATGAGCTCTCAACAAGCTGTGACCCGTGTTGTCAGTAATAGTATCACAGAAAAGCAAGAGGAGGCTTTTACGGGTTGTGCCGATCACCACAAATTGTGCCACCCTGGTATGTAAACAATTTTATCGGTTTTCCAGTCAAGCAATTATGTGGACGCTTGACTACTAGATGATAAATGCCAATATTTTTGGATGGCAGTAATGCAAGAGTGCTCATTCTGAGACTTCTGAAAAAACGCTGGTTTGGTATTTTGGAGCAAGACTCTTACTTCCCGAGAAGTCGCTATAATTAGCTCAAACGCTCCAGAACCACTAGCGGGAATGTCTAATTGAAGTTTTTCACCCTTTTTGGTTAGGAATCACCTCAGATTTCAAAGCTTGCAGAACACAAACAGAGCAATACCTTGCTCCTGCTATATTTAGAAAACTCAAACCACTGCTGTTATGTAATATGTAATGTATGCGACCAAAATAAGAAGCTTGGGGCTTCTTTTCAGTGTGAGCTATTTGCTGCTGCAGATCAGTGACCTTTGAAGGGGAAACCTGCCTGAAAGATGAAGAGGTACACACAGGCTTAACCCAGATGATCATATGACAGACACAAAGTGAAGAATGGGGATGTTTGCTAGATTAATGATCATTCCAGTTTTATAAGGAGGAGTGTTGATGGTTTTAAAATGAAAAGACACATTGTGAGGTAAATTTATCCACTGAACATCTGAAAGACATAATGTATTTTTGTGGGATGAAGCCATAAAAGCTGAAAAAAAATACATAAAGAAACCAAACAATCAATCAATCAGTTTTTCAAGATATATTTGTTCAAGCATTCTTAATAACTTCAAGGTCATCGGTGTCTCTGAGCTTTCGAAGTTCTCTGCCTCTTCATGTAACCCCAGACTGACTGATTGACTGATGTTCAGACTGAGGTTTTTCAGGGAACACATCTGTTGCAGATACTTTTGGTCGCTGAAGATAGAATTTATGACTGCCTGCATGCTTAAGCTCACTTTCTTGCAGCGGTTTTGAACTGGGGCATATCTCATCTGCACTGCAACGTATCCCAACTGGAATTTGAGACATTCCTTTAACCTTTTCAGCAACTGTTGCAATAAGATAAAATAAATCAATGTTAAGCCTACGAATACCTGATGTTCAGCGGCCCTGAATGACACTCGTGTACACAAGCCAGTCAAGTCAGTCATGCCTACGACAGTGACGACAGCAGCATCGACCAACAACACATCTCCCAAATTCCCTCTTAACCTTGGATTCAAGATGTTTCCTCTGACGTCAAGTTGGTATAAAGGCTCTTTTTTTTTTTTTTTGAAAGGCAAACTCATTAAGACAATGTTAATTCTTGAGTTTAGTGTCTATGTAACCGGGGAGACTCTCTAATAGTCAATGAGAGTCATAAATCCATCCAAATGTTGCCTCTATTATTGTTAGGCATGCTTGGAGTGGGACAAAAAAGGTCACATCACTTGTTGACCAATTGGTATGGGGAGTTCTCAGAGATGGAGGAAAAAAATCCACGGTAGGAAAAATGTGGGAAGAAGTTCGAAACACTCAGTTTAGGATAGGTGGAAAAGTTTAGTCCAAAACTCAGACAAAAGAAACCTCCAATCATTCTATGGCTGCTTTTGTTAGAGTAATTAACATTTAATGTAGTTTTCTGAGCTTTTAAGAAACTTTATAATAGCCTTACATAAAGCTTCCTGTAAAATTCTCAGATTCTTTGTTTGGACATGTTTTTTTTTTTTTTTCCAGTCACCAATGTTTGAAAGCATTCGGGTTCAAAGCCATTCACTTGATGCCATATGACAGCAGAGAAGAGGAGGTGTTGTCGTTTGTGTCCAGCCCCCTCCAAAAGCTGGAGGTATGACATCAACAGCAATAATGAAAGCAGCTCATCAACAACTGGATACCGGGGCTATAAAAGGAGCCTGTGGAGTCCAGTGCTTATCATAACTAATAGGAGCTAACCACCAAACCAGACTGGCTTGCTTAAGAGACTATAGCACCATATTTTATCTTTCATCACACTGAGGGGAAGGACACAACTCCACCACAGGTATGCTCATTTCGACCTGTCAGTTCCGAATTAACTGGAGGCCAAATGCCTCAAATCCAGTAGGGTTACTCTTTTGTATCTGAGAACAATAATGCTTTATTTTTCACTATATGATATACATGTGAAGCTTATTCTAATTTGCTCTCTCATTCAAGAAGAAGCTTGCCTTTAAGTGTTCTCAATTATACAAAACTTAGGGGAAAGCATGATTTTGAAAGAGTTTATTTGTTTCAACAGGCTGTAAAAGTCAACATGCTAAACATGAACTTTAAACTTCTTGTCATCATCTTCTGTGTTGTGCACCTCTCCATTTACTGCCAAGGGCGTCCGCTCAGGTAATTGCGCCGGTTGGTTAAAATTTTGACCCACATGATTAAAAATAGTATAACACTTTTTTTGTGCAGTGACAGACTATTACTGGAATGTTAATGCTGTCATTCTGATGATTCTGCAGTAAAAGGACAGTGAGTGAAGTGCAGCTCATGCACAACCTGAGACACCACCAGCAGGTGCAGGAGCGCCGCGAGTGGCTGCAAACCAGAATCCAGGACATCCACAATGCTGCGGGCCGGGCCAGCAGTGGAGACATGGAGGGCTGGAAGAGAAGATTACATCCTGAAGAGTTGACTGAGCTGACACCAGATGAGATAAAGGAAGCTTTGGACTTTCTGGAGAACCTCCTCAAATCAAAGCAGTGATTTATTTTATTTTTTTTATTTGACAGTTTGCATTCACATAACATTTCCAACATCTTAGATTTAAACTGTTATATTCTGCTTTTGAGTTTATTTCTTATTTTATTAGTTTTTTTTATCTGTTTTTTTTTTTTTGCTTATTTATTCAACTTTATTTATGACATTTTTATTTATGAGACAGTGCCTCTGTTAGACAGATCTTCCGTTGTCGCTGCACTTTTATTGAACGACTTGTTAAGTAAAAAACATGAAGGAGTTAGTCTGAACTGGACCAATTATGTTTCTTTTTTTGTATATTTTGCGCAGACAAAGCCCTAATGTTGGATTTATCAAGGTTAAATGTGTAGTCTGTTGTTTTTGTGCATGTTGCCTACTCATTAAATGTTTGATACGCCATGTGATTGGGCTGAAACATAGTTAGCCCTCAGTAGATAGCCTGATAAGCTGTACTTAAAAACAATACAATTTTGTATTTTTATATACTACAACAATGCCATTGTAAAGCACAATGCTGCGTTTAAAAGATGAATCTATAGTCATATGGGAGAGGTAAAATAAATTTTTTAAAAGTTATGCTTTGTTTATTTGTCAATTTTATTTGATCAATTTATTAGTTTAACCAGAGGCAAAAAAAAAAAAAATAGGAACAAGCAAGAGCCAAGCAACTGAAAGGAGTGTCTTACAGCGACTAAACGAATTTCTCGCGATATCTTAAACGTGAATTTCACACCAAAACAAATCTACTAGCAAATAGTAGTTGGTGGAGGCGACGATTTTCAGAGGAAAACCCTAAAATTTTCGTCTTCTCCGCATTTGAACCGATGGATTATTTAGCTGTTTAGGTAGCCAGTAGATACGTCAAACTGGAATGTCACTGCAGAAGGTAAGTAAAGGATGTTTTTAACTCTTCTTAGAGTAGCAGCTAGCTAACGTTAGCAGCCTAACGGTTGTGAATGGAAGCTTAGCGCTATTTTAAGCTAGCAAAATAACCCAAAAATCCTCTTATCTGTTGTGAATTTTGTGCAAAATTTGAGTCGACGTATTTTTTTAAATTTTATTTTACTCTCATGATAAATTTACATTCAGCGAAAGAACGCCTACATTGTTTTCTATTGGACAACTTTACGCATAATAGGGATTCAGGCATGTTAGCCTTAAACATACAATAATAAAAAGGTAGAGGAAAGGTGAAAAGGGACAGGTCAAAATGCGTAAATATTTTTTTCCCTCAGTGTGCTGCTTCATATTTGGAAGCAGCTGTAAAAGCGAGTTACTTTCCCAGACAAAATGTCAGAGCTCATAGTTTTAACGGATTTATACAAGACAAAAATATTCTGATCATCCAAGTATCACCTATTGACAAAGAAATATGAGGTGATGGAAAAAAAAAAGAAAAGAAAGAAAGACAAATTCAGATTTCAGTTCAGGTTGTAATTTTATTTTTGTAATCACTGTCTTTTTTAAGTGGATCATTTTAACGAAAAGCCACTATTTCTGGCTTTTTCAGACTGTGTAAAAGCTTTGACAGACTTTGTTTATTGATGTTTTGCAAAAGTCATAGAAATGATTCTTTGTGACTTTTGAAAGGTTGTTTTTGAGCTTTTTCTGTTTAGCCCTTACGCTTGATCATACATAGCATATTTTACCTAGTGTGCTTGGAAAAGTTAGAAAAATATGCAAGTGGGGGACAACATAAGTTTGAAACCTGCCAATCTATTCAAACACTGCTTGATATGGACCAGAAATAGTTGTTTGTGTAAAACCAGAATCAATTGTTGAGACATTTTAGAGCACATATTTTTTAATTAAAACAAGAAACTATTTTGTGTCTGTTAAAGTGTGTTGCTGTGAGCATTTTATCAATCTGTTCAAGAGAAATTAGAGTAAGTAGTTTGTTTTTGTTATGAGCTGCTGTAGAAACCAGCTGCTTAAATAATGTTTAACTTTAGAATTGCTTACCTATTTGGTTTGTGTACTATTAAAGGTTAAGAAAATCCGTCCATCCATTGCCCATATTCATTTATCCATTTAGGCTATCTTCAGCTGTTATTTGACAAGATGACTGCATAGGGATAGGCACTGGACAGGTCACCAATCCATTACAGAGCAAGATGGAGACCACAGAACAAACAACCACACACACACACACACACACACACACACACTCATACCTAAGGGCAGCTGGGATTAATCCAGATGTCTAGGGCCTCCAGCTTTTAGATGTGTCTTTGCTTGAACTCTCTTTGAATTTCCCTTCAAATAATGAGGTCGTTGGTAGAACTGGGTAATAATGGGGTAATTCAACCATTTGATTCATGCTTGGTGGACCAGGGATACATCAAAAAGTTGCAGGACACCAAATCATCAAGGCCTGGATTTGAGAATCCTTGGATTAAATTAATACTCATGTTATTGGATTGTGGGAGGAAGTCAGAATGCCAGGAGACAGTCCACAAGTGCATATGGAGAGATGCGGTCTCCACACTGAGAGAATCCATGTTGAGATTTATGCTAACTTCCTATCTAACATGCAGCTCTGTTTGAGAAATAATACATTATTTAAAAATTCTGACAGGCAAGAACCGGACTAATAATAATGCATGCAAATTTATTTGTCAGATATAGCTAAGCTTTCTGTGACCCTGTCAAAATGTGGTAACTTAAACAGTAATGTTGCCTTTCTTTTTGCGGGAAATCTTGCAATTATGAAACCTTTTACAAAGTGACCAAATTACTGACATTTTGTCCTTGTGGTGCGCAATTACGCATGTGCACATGGATATATATTAACACAATCATGCATAAGGACAAATAAGTGTGCTTCCTTGTCATTTTTTTTTCTCTCATCCTTTTTTCTTTTCATATATTTTCTTTCCTTGTTTTGCCTTAAAAATGGAAGTTTTCTCAAAATCTTGTACAAACTCTGAGTGAACTTTTCTATTGTGTATTTGTTTATGAACATAAAGATGTGAAATCTCTGGAAAGTTGAGTCTAGCAAAGTACAGTTTTATTTAACATGAAAAGTGTATCGCTATTGTACTCAGTGCAATGAGCTGGTGTCATGTGTGGCTAATTTTTATTGTATAGTTTTACAGCATGTTAGTCTTTTTTATCATGACACTCTTCTTATATGTATCATCGACTATCTCTTTAAATAATTTCACATACAACGCAGCTCACAATTTATGCTTACCTTCCACATATCTCTCGTTCGATCAATCGATATTTACACGCAGCCGCAATAACGCGCCCCGGGAAGACACAGAAAGACTCCGAAGCGGCACTTTACAAAGAGTCCGTGAAGGCAACACCGTTCTGATTCAGTCTAGCACGCGGCCATTCACAGTTTCGGGTCCCTCCGGTGACTCAGGTTGACCAGCCGGAGCGTCTCCTCCTTCGCCTCGCACACCTTTTTTCAAGCCTTTTCCCCGACCAGCCCGGTGTTTTGTTATACCAGCCAGTCAAAGTCCGACCCGTCTGCTCTAAACGATGCGAATGAAGTTGGAAAGTAATGAGCGAGGATGCTGAAACTGCCGGCAAGCCCGCTTTGTTCGCAGGAGCGCAAGGCTTTTGTGCCGCTGTCATCCCGCAGCTTGTTCCCTGCTGCTTTGTCTTCTCGTGGCCCGGTGAAAACGACCGGTACGTGGACGCTTTTTTTTCAAAGTACGGAGTTTTTTTTTTTTTTTACTGTTATTATTCAGCTCTGTCATTGCAGGATGTGTTGCCAGCTGTTAGCGGACGGCTCTTTGTTTGTGAGTAAGTACAGGAGCGACCGATGGAGAGAGAGCCAGCGACCTGAATCCCATCCTCCACGGGACTCTCTTGCTTTCTCTGTTGCACAGCGAGATGGATTAACATTCCATAATGTGACAGAAATTTTGCTTTGGATTTCTTTGTGAAACTGCAATGTTTTTGTTGTCATTTGCAGCTGAGAAATTGGTAAATTCACCCCCATCCTGCCAAAGAGCAGCCGCTTTGCCTTTGCCCATTGCTGTGTCAGTGTCAGCAGCCCCTAAATAATTGATTGGACCCTCAACCCTCATGACTCTCACCCTTATGCTTTTAATAGACTGCCTGGGTGCTTTACATCTTTGTCTGAGATATTCTGTCTTTAGATGAGTGCATGAACTTGCTCTACCTCAATCCGTTGCCATTTAAAGAACCGAAACTGTCATATCTTTTTCTTTTCCCAGCAGTAGAAAATTAGAAATAAGATGCGTCTTTTTCATTCTGGCAGTTTGGAATCTTGGCTGCTGGAGACGCACAATGCTGTGTGAAAGACGAGAAGATCTGCATGCCCTCTGTGAAAAACTGCCTCTCCGCTTCCTTTGTTTCCTCCGTCCTGCTGGTCCTAACTGCAGGATCCTCATGTTAGGAGGATCTTGCCTCAATTGAGGTTGAAAATGCATTTATAATTTAGAAGTCATCATGTACGTCATCACATTCTATCACTTCTCTGTGTCTGTGATGAAAATGATGCAAGAAAAGGTGCACTTTTCATCATTGGATGACTTTCAGAGGCTTTGCCTGCATGGATTATAGCGCACGCTGAGGTGTCCGCTTGTTTTTGTGCTCAATCTTTCTATTTCCTTTTTCATGTTTACCCTTGTCTTCAAGGACAAGCCAACGCACTATCTTGTTTATTGTTTTGCCCAAGATTAAAAGCTGCCATTGTGAGTAGAATTTGGCAACATGACATTACACATATTTTTCTTAAAAATGCCCAATAATAGTATTTGCGACTTATTTTGTATAAAGCACTGAAAAGGAATGTGGCAAAAATGAATAAAACTCTGTGTCTTGGACAGTATAGCAGCGGTGCGTTGTCTCCACGCTGAATTGTGGGGCTTTTATTTTGTGATGAGCTTGCTGATCCTGCTTCATCACACTTTTTCCTGTCACTGTTGTCTGCGTCTGCTTACCCAGACAGTTAACCAATTAGCCTCTCGATCAATCTGGTATCCAGCGCTCAGACGGTCCTCTCAGCAGCAGCAGCATCCCGACCATCCAGCGCAATTAGAAATTCCACAATGTCCACTATCGTAGTCTCTCACGCTCACTTGAAACATTCAGGTGCTGCTTAATTAGTTGGAATAACTTGAAACTATTTCTTTCACAAAATGAATTATTAATAAACAACAACAAAAAAAACCCAACCCTAAACATTCAACCGACTGATGACTTTAAAGCATTTATTTCTGATTTTAGTGATAGTGGTTAATAAATTTACTGCATCCATGTACTCTACAGAATATGAACTCGGTGATCTTTTTTTTTTTTCTCTCAGCTGTAAACACTCCACACTATGATTATCCTACCACAATTTCTTCCTTCCACTAAACTTTGTATTAATATGCTTGCATGTAGCACTCTATGAACAGCTAACGTCTTTTGACAATGTCGATTAAATCATCAGACATAATTTGACGTTTCTGGGATTAAAAGTCCATGTTGTATTCAGATATTTACTTAAATTTGAACTTTTCCTAAGCTATAAGCGTGAATGAAAAAGCGCTAATTGCTAATAAAGTTCAAATCTAACATAAAAACGTGCTTTGTATTTTTATTATTATTATTACTGTCTTTCACTTTTGGAAGTGAATTACTAAACTAATGTTTAAAGGATAGCCTCATTTGTTGGGAAACTCCTGACAATGGCTAAAGTTGAAGCAAACTTCTGTTTCTTATGCAGCTACTGAACATCTTGCATGTTGAGAAGTACTAATTTGCTTTTCTGTGCATAATGCATGATATTTTGGGAACTACAAAGGTGCGTTTATTTATTACAAAGCTATTCACAAGTCAAGTAGGAGAGTTATGGTTCTGTATGTCCCACACCTCACGCTGTGTCCATTTGTCATCTCTCCGGTTTTCCAGTAGACAGTCCTCATATTTCATTGCAGCTCTTCCCACAAAAGCCAGCTTCTCTTCATTATTGAGACCTGAATGTGTTTCTGGTGTAAAGGCCCTGTGATTAAATCGGCAGCTACGCTGTTGCACAGATGCTGGACAGGAGACACTAATTATCAAAAACACAGGAAAGTAGTTTATTATAACAAGATAATTATATAAATGTTTTGCATCAGAGTACAACTCCTTATAAGGTTGCTGTATAATACCGACATGTTTGGTTTTATTATGAGATGACAGATTACAAGCGAATATCTGGTAAATGTTACAAATACCGTAATGAAATGATAATTGTATACAATTGCATGTGTTGAACACGCTGTGTTAAATTGGAGCTGCACTGGTTAGTCATACAATGAGTCCTCAGAAACTCAATTGGTAGCTGAGCTCACATTGACATTTTTTGGTGATGGTATTTTGCAAATACACATTTTCAGCCTCCATTGTGTGAGGATTTTGTGTCCATTTTAGCTTGTTTCTCTTTCTAAATGATTTGTCTTTAGAACATTTCAGAATTCCTACAGAGAGGATACTGCATGTGCAGTGAGCCCTCTTGAATGAAATAACTGAGTATTTGGACACAAGTCATTGTCGAACAAACTCCACTTGTGATTCGTGAAGCTGTGCGTTTAGTGACCCATCATAGTGTAAAAACAATCTGCTGTTGATAAGTCTGAGAGCTAGAAACAATTTTAAACTGACAGTTTCATCGCACCATTTACTAATATTGCAAGTTTTTTTTTTCCAGTGTCACTCAGCTCTAACAGGATCTTCTGTTTGTGTACTCGTTCTCCCCACAAGTGAGCAGTGTGGTTTGTCTGGGTCGGACTGCGGCCGGCGGTTGCAGTGCCATCAGGTCAGGACCATGAGTCTGTACGGGGCCGGCGCCAGCGGCAGCGGCGGGGGGATCAGTGGGGCTGCCGGTGGATCCCGGGAACGGGGATTGGGAGGAGCAGAACATTATAGGGAACAGCGACGACGCTCCAGCGATCGCTCACGGGACTCGTCGCACGAGAGAGGGGAGAGCCAGCTCACGCCATGCATCAGGAATATTACTTCTCCAACACGGCAATATGGTAAAAAGGAAACAAAAAAAACCTGAAATACTCTAGAACACTTAATAATAAGTGGCTTTTCCGTCATTATCGATCCGTTTTCCTCCCACAGATCGCGAACGCGGCGACGGAGGCTCCTCCTCCAGATCATCCAGCCCTCGTCCTCCCCGAGTTTCTCATTCTTATTCACACATAGGAGGAGCTCTGATTGGGGCACATATACCACGGCCCCTGGGCCCCTGTGGGGTAGACCACCACGCCAAAATTTTAGGCCCAGGATCCTGTGACATGATCGTGTATGACCTTGGTGGCAAAGAGCATCGAAGTGGGCTGCGACCAGGGGAGAGAGTCACGCTCATTGTGGACAATACAAGATTTGTGGTGGATCCTGCTATCTTTATAGCTCAACCCAACACCATGCTGGGCAGGTGATGACCACAAGACGAGTGCAATAATCTGTGTGATGAGTAAAGTCAGAAAAGTGTTGCTAAATATAGATGATGCTCAGTTAAGAAAGTGTACAAACACACTTTTTTTTCTTTTATTTGGTAATTGTCTGTTTGAGCACATCATATTTATAAATCTTAATTTTTAGTTGTCTTTTTTTATGAGTATATGAATGAGAGAGATTTCATTTAGATTCTTTTCTTTCCCTCATATTGGTGTTTTATGAACGAAGCTCGTGCTCCATTTGAATCAGCTCTGTGCTTTCAGGATGTTTGGTTCCTGTCGGGACAACAATTTCACTCGGCCCAACGAGAAAGGAGAGTTCGAGGTGGCTGACGGCATCAGCTCCACTGTGTTCCGTGCCATCCTGGTGAGATTTTATTCAGAATGTTCTGCTTTTTCTGCCCTACTTTCTGTTTTCCACTTTACCCCTGCATTTCCTCACTTTCTTTCTTTCTTGTCCTCTACTGTGTTCCTATCTTCTATCATGTTTTCTTTCCCATTAACCCGTCTCCTTCTCTCTCTGTCCGGTTGTCTGTCCGGGACAAAGACTGCCTCACCAGTCTTTGTCCCTTTTCTTGCTCCAGTTCGCCTGAAGATATCCCTACTTTTATGTATTTTCTTGTTCTCCCTGGGGGGGGAAATGAGTTCCAGCTTTTTCTGCTGGATAGGCTGTGATGTTTTATTCACGTACACTATATCTCTCCGTACATCCGTTCATTCTATCCAGCATCACTTCTTTTGTTATTATAGTGGTCAGTGTAAAAAGATATTTTGTGTTAAAAGCCTCTTAGAGATGGACTTATGTAACTATTGATAGGTCAAATTATTTATTTTTCAGTTTATTTACAGAAACGTCTAAGTTTAGACTTGTAGGAAGATCTGATTGGGATCTGGCTGCAAGGCAATGTGCCTTTCTTAGAAATAATGTCTGAAAACGCGCAGTCTGTGATAGCTGCTCACTTCTTTTGCCAAAAAGTAAAAGATGAATTAAGTGAAACTGTCATTTCTAATTCCAGAAAACAAATGTTAATATTCATACAGAGATACCCAGATCATATTCAGTGCAAGTTCAATGCGAGTTAAAATAAAATTATTTCCTTCCTTTTTTTTAAAAGAAAAAAAAAAGCCCATATCAGTTTGGTCCTATGTTGAATTTTCCTGTAAACCTAATAACTGCTTATTCCACCTTTGGCAACAATCGGTTATTATAACAAGTATTTATGATAGGTGGCAATATCTCTTTCACTGTTGCTGCCCATAAATGTACATTTATTTATTTGTTTGTAGCATTGTTTTAATGTAGCCATATTGGAGGGGTTCTGAGCACATTTGCCAAGGCATCACAGTTAGATGTAAATTAAGACTTTAAGTTAAGACACCTTAATTGTGTCCCTTTTAACCAATCAGAAGTGGACCAGACTTGTTGGTGTGCAGGACATCAGACCTTGTCTTGCTAGTATCAATGTTAGGACTAACACGAGGGTTGGAGTTAAGATTAGGAATAACCACGGGGTTAGGGTTAGCGCTAACCCTAGCCATCAGTTTGTGACCTTAAGCACTCCTGAAGCAAGTCATCCAGCTTCAGGACTGGATGACATGCAATAATTGATGAAACCACAAATTCTGCTTTTTAAGATTAGCGCCAACCTGTATGAATCAGTAAGCAAGTCATCCATTCCTGAAGCAACAAAGCATCCCCAGGTTTTAACACTATTTCCAGAATTTGTGACTGACTGGATGTTAGTTTCAGTCCAAATGTTATTAGATTCATGCCTTCCACAAAGATGCTCATGCAATCTACCGAATATTTTCAAATGGTTAGCATTGTTTCTTCATTCTGTCCCAAATCTACCATTTTTGTCTGGTCTTCTTCGTGTCTTTTTCTTGAGGCTGCAGCAGCAAGGAAAGCTAATTAGTACATGTCCATCATTATGAATGAACAGAGAATGCATCACAAAGAGGCAATAAATATAAAGCCACATTAAAAAAAAAAATGTTTGTCCTCAATCATTTCTGGTTGCACCTTTGATTTAAGATTCACTCATCTCTCTCACATTAGCATACCTCAATAAAACACAAAGCATGTTTTTTTTTAGCAGAATTCAAATTCTGGTGAAGTTGAGTTGTTCAATCTTGCAGCTGCATGACCCACAGGCAAATAAGAATGAGTCAGTTTACGACGACTTTGACAGGATGGAGTAATTTTTAATAATTACATTTTTAGCGTTGACTATATCTTACAAAGCTGTGACCTTGTCCCAACTTCAGAAATTGTTTAATGGCTGATCATCTCAGCATATGTAAAGTTCAGACTTAAGAGGCAGAAACGAGAAATAATATTTATCTGCTGTAATAATTTTGGCATTTAGCAAACAGAAGTAATTTCAGTAATCCTAGTTGAGCTAAAATGAAAAAGGTTTCGTCTGATTTGTTATCAGATGGTGAGGGGCAAGGTTTGTTTTTTGTATGATGTATGCAAGTATGTATGTATCTGGTGTAGCTGTGAGTCTTTAGACTTTAAGGAAAATATAATGAGGCACATTGAAGTGACTGAGGCAGAGCAGAAAGTGGGTTGTGCCAGAGCTTTGTGTCCTGTTTGCCCGGAGCGTCTCCTCTGGTTTCCATCAGTCGAAACTCCTGGGAAACCGTCACTGGGAGCAGGAAGGGCATAGTGACATCAGCAGCTTTTGCTTTCATCATCTTCCACCCCCCAAACCCCCTTTTTTTGCTCTCTTTAGCCCTCCTCTCTCTCTCTCTCTCTCTCTCTCTCTCTCTCTCTCTCTTTCTCTTTCTGTGACGTTGCTTTTTTTTTATCACTCGCTCTCCATCCCCCCTCTTATCTCTCCCTCCGTCCTCTCTCTGTGAGGCAGCTTTAATAATGGCGTCTTGTTTTCCCTCCTCTGCTCGAGTGCGCGCATGACCGTCCTCCTCACTGTGTGTTGTTTATTTCTCCGTGCGCATGCCTGCGCTGGCGAAAATGGCAGGATTACTACAAGTCGGGGATTATCCGCTGCCCCGACGGCGTTTCCATTCCTGAGCTCAGAGAGGCATGTGACTACCTCTGCATCTCCTTCAACTACAGCACCATCAAGTGCAGAGATCTCAGTGAGTACACCCTCTCTTCATCCTGCTCAGGTATTTCCTTGTGCGTGTAAAGCTGCAGAGTAATGTAGTTTCTGCTTTTGTCCGTGCGCAGACTTCGGTGAGTCTCTTGATCCTTTTGGAGTTGTTGTATCCTTGGGTTTAAAAGAGAACTTGTTTGATTTTCCGTGTCAGACTCGGATATCATGAGGTCAATCATGAATTTACTGAGATTCGTATTTCTATAGCTACATTTAATGTCTGATGTTGTGAGCGTGCGAAATTCCTTGCTTGTGTGTTCAAACTTGGGCGAAGAAAGCTGATTGATTTCAGAGTATCGTAGATGAATGTGCAGAACAGCAAATAAGTCAAAACAAATCTGTCTTTGCTTAATTGCTGTCTGCTTGCATGCACGTTTTCTGCTTCTGCAACATCCCGCATGTACACGGAGATGTCAGTGGGATACTTTGGTTGAGAACGTGCTCGTCAGTGCCGCTTGTTTTGTGTGCAAGTACGTGGGAGGAGCAGCTTCAGCGCTCTGCTGCTGTTTGCGCCTCTAAGTAGGCCATGATTAGCTGTGAGATTTACTGCTTATGTGGGCCAAAAAAAAAAAAAAAACACCCAACAAAAAGCAATCCATCCCCAATAGAGAATATTTTCAAAATTAGTTTTAGTTGTGCAGTGTGATCATACTCTGTGTTTCTGATCTGAATATTCACTGCGATTTTCTCAGAAAACGTCTGCTGCTGTTTGTTTGAAGATATTCGATGCTTACAAGAAAATGTAGATGTACAAAAACGAAAAAAAGAAGGGAAACAGACAGGATGTTCTGCATGTTAAAATGGACACAGTCACATTCAAGCAGATTTTATTTGGGTCAAAACTGCAATCCGTCCAGAAGGTTCCAGTTTTTACCAGATCCTCTCTGAAGATTTTCTAACGGTGGATTTTCTTTTTGTTTGTTTTTACAGTGAACCTTAAATCACAGCTGGTGTTTAAATTGAACTAATGAAGCATTAGGAAGCACTTTATAAACAGTTAGAAAGGTCTGTTAATGACAGTAGTTTAAAGCAGTACTTTCTTTAAACTACAGTCAGTAAATTATTTTTTGTCAAACTGCTTTTGGTATATTTGTTTTTCCAACTACATAAATATAAATGTAAATTGTCCTGTCAATAAAGCCTTTTTTTTTTGTGGAACATGGATAATTTGTAGTTTCAAGTCACTTAAATAGTCAAAGTATGGATGTAGCAGAATTATGAATATTTGATTGGCTTGCTGTTCCTTTTTTCCCCCCCGAGTGATTGTCTGTAAATCTGTTCATATATCAATCTTAAAAATATTGTGATGTAATCAAATTTTCATCCTTATTGCGGATTATTGTCTCATGTTTTTTTTTTTTTAATGGCATTAAAAGCTAATGAATTTTTAAACATTTTTTTTTATTTCTTGGAAGTTGCATCACTTACTTTTGCTTCAAAGTCCAAAGTGTTTCGTTTCCATCAATGGTTCTGCTAAAGTCTCACACCTTTAAATAAACAGGAATGCACACAAAACAGACGCCAATAAAACAAACAAACAAAAAAAAAATCCAATTTTTCTAAATATAAACAAATACATTTAACAAAAAACCGCTAAAAGATGCAGTCACATTACGTTCACACAGCTTGATGTGATGTGATCCTGTGGGTGTACTTTAGCTGCTCGTTGAAGGAGAATCTAATAAACGTGGCATTTTGCCCGCTCAGGCGCCCTGATGCACGAGCTGTCCAACGACGGAGCGCGGCGTCAGTTCGAGTGTTACCTGGAGGAGATGGTGCTGCCGCTGATGGTCGCCAGCGCCCAGAGCGGGGAGAGGGAGTGCCACGTCGTGGTGCTGACCGACGACGACGTGGTGGACTGGGATGAGGAGTACCCACCTCAGATGGGAGAGGAGTACTCTCAGAGTAAGATATAGCCTCCATATTGTCACTGTCGGCTGTGAGAAGGGTCTGGTAGAGGTCACTTTAATTACAGAAGACATGATGAGGAGAAAACCTCAGTCTGAGCAGGTTACTGTGACTCGAGAGCTTCCTGCTGTCAAAACAACAGCTGTCACTTCTCCATCGATATTAAACTTAAAGATATTACGAAATGCATCGTTCCATACTTTTTCTTCCGCTTTATTTGGGTTTGGGTCGCGGGGCTAGTGGCTTCAGAAGGGAGGCCCAGGCTTCCCTCTCCCCAGCCACTTGTTCCAGTTCTTCCGGGGGAATCCCAGGGCGTTCCCAGGCCAGCTGAGAAACATCGTCCCTCCAGCGTGTCCTGGGTCTTCCCTGGGGCCTCCTCCCGGTGGGACATGCCCGGAACCTCACCAGGGAGGCGTCCAGGAGGCATCCTGACCAGATGCCCGAGCCTCAACTGGCTCGATGTGGAGGAGCAGCGGCTCTACTCTGAGCCCCTACCGGATGACCGAGTTTCTCTCCCCATTTCTAAGGGAGAGCCCAGCCACCCTACGGAGAAAACCCATTTCGGCCGCTTGTATCCAAGATCTCGTTCTTTCGACTCATGACCATAGATGAGGGTGGGAACGTAGATCGTCCAGTAAATAGAGAGTTTCGCTTTTTGGCTGAGCTCTCTTCACCATGACAGACCGGTACAGCGCCCGCTTCACGGCAGTCGCTGCGCCGATCCGCCTGTCGATCTCCCTTCTCCCCTTATTCATGAACAAGATCCCAAGATACTTGAACTCCTCCAGGCGAGGGAACACCAAGTCCAAAGTCCTGGTCCATCATAAGGGGTCTTCGGGCTGCCCTTTGTCTGGTCCCTCACCTTGGACCTGTCTGCCTTGGGTGACCCTGCAAGGGGCATAAAGCCCCAGACAGCATAGCTCCTGTGATCATTGGGGCACTCGAGTAACACATTTTGAAGTTTTAGGTGTGTACTTTAAAGTGATGAGTGTTAAATCCTGCTGATTTAGTAATGTCTTCCATTCTCTCTACAGTTATCTACAGCACCAAACTCTATCGTTTCTTCAAATACATCGAGAACAGAGATGTAGCCAAATCTGTGCTGAAGGACCGAGGACTGAAAAAAATCCGCCTGGGAATCGAAGGTAATTTACTTTTATGGGAAAACATGTTTCTGAAATCACTGTTTATTAGTGAATTTATGGAACTTTTTCAAACTCCTTCGCTGCAGGCTCAAGCAAAACCATTATTGTATGAAATAAACTATATACTGGAGATTTTTGGTATAGTTTAATGACTTTTAAACTAATACAGTACTCTTGGATGAGATCACTGTGCATCATCTGTAGCTGAACTTGTTCTTCAAAGTCTAGATTGTTTTATTAGTACTTAAAAATGGGTTGACCAAACGGATCATCATCAATATAATAGCTAAAAGTTAGTTGGAATGTGTTATGAACAGTAATGCACATTGGTCAGTATTCCTTACAACTTGCTTTAACTTTGCTTCGTTCCCCACCAGGATACCCAACGTATAAGGAGAAGGTGAAGCGACGTCCCGGGGGTCGCCCCGAGGTCATCTACAACTACGTGCAGCGTCCCTTCATCCGCATGTCCTGGGAGAAGGAGGAAGGGAAGAGTCGCCACGTGGACTTCCAGTGCGTCAAGTCAAAGTCCACCACCAACCTGGCGGCGGCCGCAGCCGACATCCCTCAGGACCAGCTGGTGGTCATGCACCCTCCCGGCCCGCAGGTGGACGAGCTGGACACTCTGCCCCCTCTGGCCAACGATCCTCACCAGCCGGCGATAGGACAGGCGCCGGAGAACCACCCGGGGGCCCAGCTGTACGAGGGCCCGCACCAGCAGGAACACCAGAGCCAGCCCCGCACCAACCAGCAGCCACACAGCAGCAGCAGCGGCAGCGGTCACTGTCAGCCGACGTACCACTACGACCCGGACCCTGACAATCCGTCCCCCTCAGCGTGACGCCGCCCGCTCCCACACAGCCACGTTCACTACAAGTGCTTTCGTCACACAGCTGCAGCCAGCGCTGAAGGTTCGACTGGAACCAGGTTGTCCTGCCTGCCGGGCACACAGTGCAAGTTTTCAAAAATAAAAGCACCTCTTAATGTGAACACAGACTCCCATTCCTCTTCTTTCTCCCGAGAGGCAAACCACCACTTTGCCTTCTGCCGCGACACATCACCCAAATCAAGCCGAACTCTGGAGCCCGTCAGCAGACGCCCTCACCCGGTTTCTGCTGTTTCTCTGACCAAAGGAGCGGCGGCGCATTAACGCGGAGACAAGAGGACTGTTTTACCGGAGCGTTGGCGCGGGACCTCTGGTGGTTGTCACTGCACCTGATTGGTTCACTTGTTTTCAGTGCCTCATCATAGTTTATTTAATAGTAGATGTGAAGATTCCTTTTCCCCCTGAACATTTAAAGGCCTTTATAAAAACCTGTTTTACAGCGACGAGGTTCCACTCCTGTTTACGGTTTGTTGTTTTTAAACTCGGCACAGATTTATTGTCACTGCTGTGGGCACACAAGATGTCAGAAAAGATGTTGTACATTTTCTAAATAAACTGGATTCACAAACTTCTGGAAGTGTTTATTGAAATCGTTTTTGACCTCAGAGTGCAAACAGGAGACTCTACAAGGTAATTGCAATTTGTTTTAAGGACTAAAAGCAATAGGAACTGAAAGTCTAGAGATTAAAGTGCAAGAGCAGGTTTCAGAACATGAGTACCAATTATTAATTTTAAGATAAACTTTAAAGAGGTCAGCATGTGTTTTGGCTCATCAGCGAGACATGATCACTACACTGTCTGGAAATTGATTCAGTTTCTTTTGGAGATCTGTAGAGAGAGGAGGGACATTTATTCCCCATCTCTTTTCCTGAGGCCATTCTCTACAATAACTCCAAAAGATGTGAAACAAGTTACCCACAAGTTAGTCCACGTGTCAAAAAAAAATAAACGCATAGAAAAGAAATGGCCTTTTACAACACAAATCCAACTTAAAGCCCTGTGTTGTCACGTGACTCTTCATTTTTGTTTGAAATGATGAAAACTTTTCATTGCAAAAAAGCATGACCTCACCGGGTCCATTGCGTCAGAGGGTTAATAAAGTGTGACGTCAGGATAAGCGGCCAACATGACTCCTCTTTAAAACTGCAGCTGATCTTGATGCTCGAGCCCCCAAATCTGACCCGAAACTCAAAACCGATGCACTTTATTCTCGTCTTGCCGTTGAATCCGAAACCCGAAGCAACTTCAAGTCGGGACTCTTGATTTGGCAGAAGATAAAAGGAGCGCAGAAAACCTGCCGAGGAAATGTAAATCTGCCAATTAAAACATGCATAAGCAGCTCCCACTGCTGCAACCTCCACTATTTAGTTCAAAGCGCTCAGTCAGGTTTGAAATAACTTTGTGGGGCATAAAAACCAGGCCGCTGGTTCCGTCCATTACTTTGTTTCCACCTCTCAACATCCTCCACTGATCTGCACTCAGCTCCTCGCTGAGGCGGATCTTCCTCCTGCTGCATGGCGACAGTCGTTTAAAAATACAGCCGGGCCGCTCCGATTGGCTGACCGGAAACTGCCGGAAACCACCGAGAAGCTCAGAGACGAATAAGTTTTGTTTTTTTTTTAGTTTTTTTTATTTTAAAAATATTTCACTGCTGATACATACAACACACTCATCGTACTCATATATATATTTGCATAAAGTATACTCTTAACATGATAATATTTAAAGATTTGATACATTATTGTCAGATGGGGGAGAGCAATATAAACAAAGGGAAACACTTTCTTTCTTGTAGTGTGAAGAGTACAAACTCTGGATCAGAAACGCCAGCTGCTCTCTGATTGGAGGGAGAAAAGGGTATTTAATTAAAAAAAAATAAAAAAAAATAAAATAAAAAGAAACTTAAAAGAACTGCAAAGGTTTCAAGAGTTTGGCATCGAAACGTACCGCCTGCATGGAAAAAAATAACACTTGACTGATCTGCATCAGGTTTTAGAAGCCTGGATGGACGCCATGTTTGCTTTCCATCATAAAAGACAGAAGATGGAGTCGAGTTAAATAAAGGGCTTTAAAAGGTATAAACTGCTTCTGGTTAGATGTTGTGTTTTGGTCGCTTCCGCGGCTTTTATTATGAAGCAACACATTTATAGTAAAACAAATGTTTTGAAGCTACAGGGTGAACACCTAGAAAAGAAAAAAAAAACCCCAGCAGTTTTAATCTCTTGCAATTACATTTCAGTGATCTGGGGAATATGTTATCTCTATTATTTAACCGTGTTCTTAAACCACTGGTATCCGTTGATTTTTATTCACAGTGTTTTCATAAGCAATGTAGGCAAATGAGCAAAAAAACAAAAATAAAAGCTCATAATTGTAAGATATTGTAAAAACGCTCTGCTAAACCGCACTTTCGTTTATTTTACTTCCAAAAACCTGCTAATGCAAGCAGGATAACCAAGGGCCTTTACACTGAGAGATGGTGGAGCCATCATTTTATACCCTTTTTTATATTCCGACACATTAAACCCGGTTTAATGTTTAATATCGAAACACTGAAGGGAAACCTTTAGGAGGATTGATGACGGCACAGAGATTCACCAACATGGAGCCAGAGCTGCGACTCAACCCTTTCCATGAAGAATCTGCAGACAAAGAAGTATTGATTCGTCTGGGATTCATTTGCCCCGTATTAGGAACCAGACAAAACGTGACTAAAGTCCAGGGGTCTGAAGAGTATCACTTTATATATCTATATAAAAATGTCAACTGTGTAACGTTGACTTTGAGGTGCAGATAAAAACGTTGCTCCTAAATTTTCTGCTAATGACGGACCAAAATTACCAAACGATGAGGCACTAAATAAATAAAAAAAACTCTCCACTATTTAAAACTGAACAGTATTTTCTGTGCTCATGTTGTAAAGTCCTTTTATAAATTAAAACGCAGGCTTTAAACATTTAGCATTTCTCAGTTTAAATAATCCCATTAGAAATACTGTGAGATTACTAGAAAATAATTAAATTTTAAAAAATGTAAAAAGCCTTTAGTATTCCATGTTCAATGCTTTCCAGATATAAGCCACATTTATCTGCAGAATCCACTTTTGGGTTTTGTTTTTTTCCACACAGGCAGGTGTCAAGATGCTCGAACCTCTTCAAAGTGAAATAAACCCGCCTCGGCGGCTGGGCGCGGTCCGGCGAGGCCGGGAGGTTGCGTCGAAGACGGCCGTCACGATGGAGCAGAGAAACGAAGGCGGTTATTGATCCGCGGCTGCCTCATTCGGCAGGCAGTTTGGTTGACGGCAAAGTGCAGCCAATGCGACGTCTGCTCACTTTTAGGAGTCGAGTTGATCGAATTTAAGACACTGAGCTGCTTTTTCTTTGAGGCTCACAAACTCAAGTCGTTTCATCAGGAGGGGTCATGAGTGAAATTTGAGCCGAAATCCTTCAAACAGAACAGAATTTCCTCACCTACAGCCTGAAGTGCTTCTTTAGAGCAGATGGAGGATGTGTGAGTGCAAACCCTGTGACCCAGAGACTATTACTCTTAAAAAGAGTTGAAATACAAATATATATATATAGAAAAACCCTGATTAAGGTCCGTTTCATTGCTGCAGCAGTTTGGAAAGCAGCGCTGTGGCATTCTGATGGCCAACACAGTAGTAGTAGTGGTAGGTCTTCACAAGACCCCTTCAGGTTTATAAGGAAGGATATCATCCCTCTGCGCCACACCGACAAATGAGTCCAAATCAACATAGAACTGCTTCACCTGGAATAAAACTATCGCAGCTGAGCTACAACCAAATCTCTGAGGCTGGCGGTCGCCGACGTCGGAGGGCCTGACTGGAGGGAGGAATGACAACCTTGTCGCTTTAGTTTTTTTAAAATGTTGAAAAAGCACCGGAGGACTGGCGTCCGTTGGGTTTTTGGGGACCTGCTGCGACATCTACTGATTCTAGGATATCAATTTATGTTCTGTTATCACCGTTTCATTACGTTCCGCGCGAAGCACTGCAGGCTGTGTTGGGTTAAATGTTCTGTTGTCGAATCGAATGCAGAATGGTTGGGAAGAAACCCTTTTCACGCACACGTTAGTTCAGGAAACGTCAGCAAGGCGGCTTTTAACAAAAAAAAAGAAATGATGCCCAGAACTAAAAATGCACCTTGCTTAGTCAGAGTAAACTTTCTAACCGATTTAAGTTTGCTTCCAGCTGGCCGGAGCAGCCGTCTCTTAGAGGGCGGGCGCTTCATTTGTGCACAGTTGCAGGGAAACCTGGACATAAACGGCCGCAGCGTGGAGTGGAAATCAAGCGCTCCCCGCTGAACGACACTTGAAACTAAAAAAATAAACCACAGTCTTTGAACGCGTCAGGAGTCCTGGGTGGGGATGCGGGGTTGGTCGTTGACCTGTGTTTGTTGGTGGTGCGGGGTTAGGGGGTCCCAGAGCCACTGTTGGACAGGGGTCAGTCTGAGAAGGAGCATCCGCATGTTAGCACCACAGTCCTGTAACGTATGCTTCTATGATCTGGACGACAACGTCTCTCACCGCGCCCGCCCTGACCAGGCTCCCCATCTACAGGCGACCGACACCGGAAAAAAATGATGCGTCGTTTTGGTGCGGGAGCTTTGAAACCCCCCCAACGGTCTGTCAGGCCCACCTACGAGGAATGATGAATCAAAAGAGTAGGCGTGAAAGTCTAAACAACCGTCCAGCCTGAACTGGAGGCAACATCTCTTAAAAATCTTCAGTATTTACAGACTCAAAATACTCTTCTTAAGACGCCACTCTCTTTTTTTTTTCCTTCTTCTTTTCGGTGTAGTTGTGTACAGGCGGCAGAAAACAGGAGATCCAGTAGAGGACTAGGGGGATGGGGCAGACAAAAATTAAAAAAAAAAAAAAAAAAATCGAACGACCAAAGTCTCTCCATCAGAGGCTCCAGAGCTTCCCTTCCAGATTCCTCACAAAGGCCAAGGCAGGTCGCTGAAGTCGACGGGGCCGCCGAGGCCGGCGTCCGCCTCCAGCAGCGACATGATGACCGCCATGGCCGCCTCGTCGTTGCTGGGGCTGCTGGAGCCCGGCTCATCCATAATGTCTATGCTCAGGTGGGAATTATCACCTAAACGGACAAATGAGAGAATTACGTTCAGCCACAGAAACACAGCAGCCGCCTAAAGTGTAAGTAGCAGTGCCGCGACTCACTCATGATGGACTGGTTGGAGTAAGGGTAGCCCACAGAATCAGGTCCAGGGATCATCCCGGTGCTCGGCAGCTCAGGGGTCCCACCGTTCTGAATCTAGAGAGACCAAAACTCACAGGTTTAATATGAAAGTAAGACACTAAACCTTAATGTCAGAAAGATTCTCAAACTCATATGAGGACTACAACATCACAAGAAAAAAAAAAAAAGTTGCCTTTTAAAAAAAAAAAAGTTTAACTCAAATTTAGGCATCATGCTGTGATGAAACGTTCACATAAACTCCCCCCAGATGGTCACAAGCGTTCACACGCTAAAAAACCTTGCGCGTTCACATAGAAAAATTGGGATTCCATGCATGAATAATGACGTGAAACCAAAGTCTCAGGACTAAAATGTTTGTACATAAATTGCCTGTTTTTCGTTGGCAATAAAGTAAAAATAAACTGAAAACCTGCCTATAATAAGTAATCCTATAAACTATAAAACCATCGACAAGGTTAAACTTTTCTTTTTTTTTTTCCCATGTTTTTCATTGATCTGTGCCGCAATGCGTGTCGTTTTCTGTTACCTTCTTGCCCCCCGGTGAGCAGGTGTCGGGCGGAGGGGTGCTGGTTATATTCAGAGGGCTGGAACCACAGCTGGAAGGAGATGAACCTCGAATCCTGAGAGAGAAACAGACACTTTCAGTGCTCCTGAAGTAAAATACACCCCGTAACAGCAGCAAAACAAAACAAAAGAAAGAAAAAAATCCCAGCTTTGTTCATTTTGTTCACGACCTGAGATTGACAGCCACACAAACAGCTGCTCGTTGCATTAGACACACATTGCAGAGGGAAAACCAATTTAAAAGAAAAATAAAATGAAAATCACATTTTATTTGCGTATGCACAGCTTGCAAAGCTGAGTTTTGCCAGCTGAATGTAACCAGAAAAACTTGTAAAAGCGTGTGCAATTACATTTTTCATGCAATGGGAAATTAGCATCTGGTGGCAACAGCCATTTCTATTTAATAATTCAGCAGGAAGGGAAGACATACACCGTTCGTCAGGGTGTCGCTGACTGGTCAGTATGAGGAAGTCCCATCACTGACCTGTCGAGATGCTTTGATTGCTTTCATTTACATCCCAGCAATGGAGTCAGACTGACTGGCTGGATGGAAGATTGGTTCCATCCAGCCAAAACGGCACTTTGCCAATTGACCCAGAATGTTAGCGACGTGTTGTAAAAAAAACCCCCAAAATGCAGTTCAGATAGTTACTGAGTGTGAAAGGGTACAAAAGAAAAATTCTGATGTTTTCCCCCCAAAGGTCACAGCCAGCAAACTTTCCTTAGTAGCCTTTAGTAGAAAACTGTCTTTGCTCCATTAGACTAATCAGTTTTCCAGGTAAGTCAACACACTAAAGCAGACGTCTGCCTTATAAAAATATCCCCACAGTTCTTCCATTATTACAGGCGCTCATTGTAATAATGGTTAATTACAGAAAAGACCTTTCCCATTTGAAAGACCTGCGAGAATACGAGAGGAGGATGCATTTCTCGCGTTGTAAAAACTTGCCGGTTTAACTGAATTTCACAATGCCGCGCCGTCTCTTCCATCAGAAATTCATGGAGAAGATCAACAGTCTCCAGCTTACTGTCCGTATATTAATTATAACTCAAACGTCTATTCAGTTATTATGGAAGTGATTTCCATGTGTGACCCGACCCTAGATAAAGCGGAAGAAAATGGATGTATGGATGGATGGAAATCAGATGTTTAGTGACTTTCTTCTTCAGAGAAGATATTTTTACTGTGTGCGGTCCGGAGGGGTGGAGTTGACCTCGCGTTTTATTTTATTCATGAGTTTTGTTTTTGTGTCGTTTCAAGAACCGACAGTCTGATGGGACGACATCCCTTCACGCTTTCCCGCTGTCCGACCATCATTTGCCACACAGGAGAGTTAAAGTTAGTTACAGCTGGCATTTTACAGCAAAAAAACAGGAAGGACTTAAACTCTCTCACTCACCTCAGACTCTTCCAAGAGTTTTGAATAGTTGATAGAAGGACCAAAGATTTTCTTTTATGTCAAAAAATGTAAAAACCCGACTTCTGAAATATGTCAGTGGAGGAGATTTGACTCCACTGGGCTCTAAATTTGCACATGCCACTGTTTGAGATTTAAGTTCTTAAAGTAACCCCTCCAGATGAGTGCAACATGTTGTCCAATTTCTCTCTGTACCAACCATCCGATGACCCCCCATTTACCTCATGGTTGGTATTTTTCATATGATGAGGAATGATTCAGTACAAACTGTGTGAAATTACAAAGCAAAGGTCAAATTCTGTTGACAATTTCCCCACAGATGCTCCCGTACTGCCAGCTCGAACAGAAGGCTTTCAATAGCGGTTAAATCATGCCTTGGCTTCACGCAACCATCTGCCTCACGAACCAGTCCGCATTGATTTTCCTTTACCGGAATGTCTGTGTTTTTCTGCTTGATCGGTTTTGAAAAATGGCACAGGCTCGATCTGCTCCCTCTCACCTCTGAATCTCCATCACTTCCTCCGCTATCATGCGTCCGATCTTCCCGGCTCCCGCTCTCGTGCCGCCCGGGATGCCGGGAACCGTCTGCAAAGCCCGTCTCCCGCCACCTGAAAAAAAATAAAAATCGGCAGGAAAATGGGAAATATGTCATTTATACAGCGCAACAACATACAGGCTCACAACATCAGGTATGCTTCGGTGTTAGCATGTTTCTCTCTTCGGCTGTTTTACCTTCTGAGGTTAGAACGCTGTCCATGCTCTGCGGAGAGGCAGCCGACTGAGGGTAATCTGATCCTTCCATTATCGGACATCTGCAGGGGGAAAAGCACAGATGAAACGATGATCCGCCTTCCAGTGCGAAGTCTGGAGCGATGAAGCTGAAGCTTTCAGGTGTGCGGATACTCACGATACGACCGTGTTCGTCGAGACGATGTACTCCACCTCCTTGGTCCAGGGGTTCATGAAGCTGAACCACCTGCTCCTCAGCGTGATGAAGGAGCCGTCTTTGATTTTGAATTTGTAACAGTTGGTGTTGATCTTTTCCCTCATCTGCAGCACTGAGGACACAGAAACCACGGTTTATGCTTCCCCCCCCTCTCCTCCGATGGGATTATTGAGTTATTACTCCGCTTCACTTTCAAACGATACCTTGTCTGTGACACTCGGCCAGGTGGCTGATGTCATCCTGGTGAAAATATTCGTAGAAGGAGGTTCCGAGCAGCTCTTGGGGCAGGTAGGCGAGGATAGCTGTTGCTCTGCAGACACGGAAATCATGGACTTTGTGTTGAAGGTGTTTGATACACAGAATGTAGAACGTTTTTATCCCCCCAAGAAAATATTTGATGACTTCTTTTTGCCAGAAGAACTTACTAGCATAAGCTGCAACTTTCCGTCGACAACTAAACTAAAAACACCAACCAAAACATCTGGTTTACAGAGCAGTTTGTTTCAAAGTTAAAAGTTAAATGGTGAATAGCAGGGCAGTTACTAGAAATGACCAAATTTCTCTCTAAACGCATCGGAAAGAAATGAAGTGCATCAAAGAAATCAAATGTGATTTGACGCACTTGACTTTGGATTTAGTAAACATCTGATAAAGGTCAAGTGCAATAGAGATGTTTTTATATTTCACAACAAAGGGCTGTTATGAAAGTTTTTCTGCCCTTAGAAACTATGTTCATTGTCATTAAAAATATTGTTAACAAGCCTTTAAGGCAGCCACTGTTATTGATTTTCTCTGGTTAAAATCCATCAACAATCACACAGATTTTGTTTAAACGATGATCACTGGTCCTGATTTTTTACGGAATAGCTACATATCAACATATGTCATCACCATATCTATAATCCTTATAAAACCTGGTCATCTCAAATTAGAAAAAAAAAAACAAAAAAAAATGTCATAAGACTTTCATCTTTCAAAATACATGTAAAACATTTCAACAAGAAAAAACAAGCAACTCAACTACAAAGTAAAACCAAGTTATAATTTGATTTTTTATTATTTTTTTTACCTCAAAAGACTCCCCATTCTCACCTCTGGTCGACGAAGACAAACTTGCCGTCGATGGCGTGCCTGGAGACGTATTCTGTGGGCTTCACCCTGATGTCGGCCGGGCTGGGCTGGGGGACGATGTGGGGGTGTAGGCGGCCGATGGCCACCAGGCAGCTCAGGTTGCAGCCCTCGTTGTCGGGCTCGTTGTCTTCGTCCAGCCCCATCTTTGTGGGTGGCCAGCTCTTTAGGTACCCTGTGCTGTGGATGGTGCAGAAACTCTTCCGGTCAGCTGAAATGAGACAGGAATGAAAGAGAGAGAGAAAGAAAAATAAAGGTGAAAAAAATATATAAATCATCCCTTTGCTCAAAGTTTGTGATGACAAATTTCAATTCAATTCAATGAAGTTGGAATCAAAATGCTTGAATTGTGATAATAAATTCAGATATGTGTAGATGTATCAAGAGATGTAAAATCCAAAGTTAGATATTACAAATATTATTATTCAAAGGCCACAAAAACCTATTAAAATCTAGTCAGACATCTAAAACAATTGATGTAAATAAAATACTTGAAGAGCAATTATTTGCTTATTTGTCATGTCTTGAGAACGAATTAACGAAACTGTTTTAATTCCTTGTGTTAGCATGATACACATTTGGGTTTCATGTTAAAATTCAATAACAAGGTTATTCACTATTCACCTTACATCGGTCATTAATGTTTAAAAATTGCAATTCTGTAGACTTCAACAGGAAGTTACATTTTTAAAAATTCCAACCTGGCAAACAAAATGTACTGAGGTATCAATGCTGTAGATATTTTCATGAATGAATGGTAACCATAAACTATTGCTAATCATCTTTGTTTTTAAAAGCATTGAGACTCATTTATAACAAAGTCTATCAAGGCTAGGTTTGTGTATTTTATTTGTTTCCTGAAGTTGCAAAAAAAAAAAAAAAAAAAAAAAAAAAAAAATATATATATATATATATATATATATATATATATATATATATATATATATATATATATATATATCACAGACTAAGGGAGCAATGCATATCATTTAGTCTCACGTAAGAAATGAACTTCTTACTTTGCTTATTTGAGTTTTAAATTTGCATTACTTCGCTCAACCTCTATTCAAAGCAACAACCCACTGAAACATATTTCCTTTAAATAGGTAGCTCAGTGCATGACAGAGGCTCTCTGGTACCAACACAGAACAACAGGAGGACGGCAAAGTGCATCACAATAAACTATTCAGAGGAATGTTAAAACTAAAGTAAATTGACAGTGGCTTTATCCATTGTGCTGCATGACTGTACTCTGGAAATGTCTTCAGAAATCAATGATGCTTCAGTAAATCCCACCACTGACTAAGCTGGGTCACACACAGACCTTGTTCCAGGAAAACCCTCTGATAACGTCAGAAAGATTTTGTATTCAAATAAAATGTAAAACAATAAAAAAAAATAATAAGTTTATACTGACTAGATTAAACACACATAATGGTGAATGGAATAAACTCAAAAGTGGAGAATTTAAGTAATTGCAGATTTACTGAGACAAGATTCCTGCAGGTTGATCAGCAGTGAAAATGCAGAATATTGACAATAAAAACACCTCATCCAGCTTTAGTGGAAGGACTTCCAATGCACTGGGTGCTGCAAAATAACACTTCCAGAGCGAGTTCGCCATCAAATATCAATATTCACACGACTCACAGCAAGGAGGTCATAAGTTAAATTCCAGGACAGAAATTTTTGATGTGGAGTTTCTATGTTCTCTGTGTACATGCAAGGGTTTTCTCTGGGTGTCCCACAGTCCAAAAACATCGACGTTTACTATGTTTTGCGGACGAACGCATCCATGAGCTGAACTCACATTTTTGAGGAATTTAAACTGAACGAAACAGCTTAAATGTGAAACGTCAAGTTGACAAAATTGTGCTCTCTGTGGGGGCGAACTAAAAAAATTGCACTTTGGTTCTAAGGCAAACGTACAAAGAAAAAGTGTCAGCTACAATCACAACAAAAAGTAGTTTTACAAATTTAAGTCAGCGGCAGCTGGATAGGAATGCACAACGCACTGTTCAGATTTTAAACATATAAATCTGAAAACCATGCAATAATTCCCTTTATGAGTTATTTTGTGTTAGAGTATCATAGGAAACAGCTGCAGTTAGTGCTGCTGGATGGTAGTGAACTCTATAAAACCATAAGTGAACAAATTCAAGCAGGCAAACTTCCTCTGTTTTATAATGGAAAAACTGATCGGTCAACCGAAGCGTGATTCCTTTCCTTAGCTGAAGAGGCAACTAAAAATAAAAAGACATTAAAAAAATAGGAGCTTTTAGTTTTGTAACAGAATTACATCTTATTGATGTGAGGTAAAGTGAAGAGAGGACTATTGGCACTATAAACTGATATAAACCAAAAAGTGAGTTATGAAGGCAGCACAAGAAGGCTGCAGGTGTTGCTGTAAAAAAAACTGAATTCATTTTGGTTGACAGTTGTAGACGCTTGTCTTCCATTTCTTGGTACCTTTCTTCTTGGAGCAAGTGGAGGGGAAGTCTTTATCTTCTACTTTGACAGAAGGTCTGTTGCACTTCATCCTGCAGAAGAACGACCGTCTGGCTCCAGAACAGAGACGAGATGGACCGGGAGTGATATCCGTCTTCACAGGAAGACCGGCTGAAATTACAATTTAAGTTAGGACAAAAGCTTTGAAAAATACTATATATATATATATATATTTTTTTTTTTCCTCTTTTCAAAAATGATCTACAGATGAACTGTAAAGCATCCTTCCAGGATTGTTGAGACAAAATTTAGTTGTTAGTTTTAGCTGTTGCCCATTTTCTGTCACTTCTTATACATCCAAATAAGCTTTGTAAAATTTCTGATCTTGTTTTTCCCCAGAAAGTAATGAAGTTGAACAGTTTGTTTGAAGTTGAACAGTCAGTCACTATCGCTGACTGCGGCAGGTTTTTGTTCCGCCTCTTGGGATCACGAAGCAGATTAAGACATAAATTCAGAGGGAGGATCTCAAGCTCCTCCCTCTGGAGTAAGTAAGCTTGTCCTTGCTTACTTTTAGCGTCAATAAGCCTCTCTCGTGGCGCTGTATCTGAGGACGACAGCTGCTCTTTGACTTTAGCGATGTCCTTGGGGTGAAGGTAGTCAAACAGACTCTGACCTATCAGGTCATTCTTGAGACGACAGCAGAACCAGATGACATACAAAAACAAAAAGAAAGAACATATGCACGGATTACCAACGCTGATAAATTTGTAAGCTTTGTGCGACATCAAATATATTTTACAATTTACCTACTTCTAGTATTGCTTTTATTGATGATGTTCAGGCTGTGTTATAAATACTCTGTGAGGGAGGCTAAAAGTTATCTTCATCTGAACAATTCATCCTGGTTTTGTTGTGATTAGCTTCATCATCTCAGATGAACATGATTAAGATCTTGGAAGTTTTTTTGTCTAACATTTTCAATATTATTTCCACTTTTGCTTTGTGACTCTGTATAATCACTTGGAATGCTCTGCATATTTCTGAGCTTTTAACACATTTTTTTATGTTTTTAAAAATGTTATATGTAGAAAAGTGAGGAAACAAATGTTTTCCGATACTTGATTTTAGTCTTAGAAAATACCAAAGGCAACTCATATAATTAATTATGTTTCCTTCTTGTTTAAAGCATACATTTACAATAAATTATTTGTTTTACTGTGTAGTGATTTAGTTTATGATGCTACTTGTACTTGCCATCTTATGAAAAGGTTTCTAAAAATGAACAGCTTCAACAAAAATTTGCATCATACAGTATATTAAAAGCTCAAAAATTGATCATACATGCATATATTTCATCCTCACGTCTCTCCATTTTTACCTGGCTGTAGTTCAGAATCTTGTACACAGATTCAGAAACAAAAAGGATTTTGCCACGATCGCAGCCAACCACAAACAGGAAACCATCAGCAGCCTGTGTTATGAACGCAAAACAACACAGTTATAGAGACAGCTGTGTAAAGCTTTGACTAATAACTAAACTCAAACTGTAAAACTACCGCAGTAGCATTACTCACTCACCCTTAGTATCAAATGCTTCAGTTCATCATCTGACAGAAAGGACGGTTTGTAGTTTGCCTCTGTGTATGGGTTAGCCGCACCTGAAATCAGAGCATCAGCAGATATTCAAACTGCACCTGCGCATGTAATCGTTTCTTCACATGTAAAAGTCAAAACCTCTTTTTAATCAACTGCAGTTAACCGCAACTGAATTACCTTTTTACATCCAGTAGAGTTCCATATTTGAAGTAAGTCTAATAAAAACTCCCAAACAAAAGTGAACTAAATGTTTGCGCAGCTGCTGAAATTTCGGGCTTTCATAACCAATTTTCCGTCCCTTGATCAGTTTAGGAAAGAACCCACTTTGATAATCTTTAGATTTTCCAGCTCTTTGGAAATGTGAGATTACAAATGACCGAACGTTCTGTCCTTGTCAACAAGAGCAAACGCCCAGGAACCATGTTATAAAATAATATTCCTGCCATGTTTCCGGAAACTGATTTTATCATATTGAAAAACTAAAACTGGGAAGAAATGATTGATTAAAAATATTTTCTTCCCCCTTCTTGAGACCAAATACAGGGTGAAATTGTAGAAAATTCTTACTCTGAGTAACAATTTAAAAAAAAAGTAGACATAATCCACTGTATCAAAATAAATTGGAACATTTTAACCTACTATAAAGAAGTAATTTTATAGTTGTAATAGAAATTAAAATAATGATATTCTGCTATTTAAAAAAAAAAACTACTTCTGTATTTCCATTCAAAAATGTTAAACTCATCACACTAAATATTTTGGTTAATTTCAAGCTCAGGTTTAAAGGAAGCCCAGTTAATAGTGACCCTCAGCACTGAACCAGATGCACCTTTTGTAAATCTTCTGTACACCTCCAGATTTCTAGTTTTACTTCTCCTGCATTTATAATAGAGACTTTTCTCTCTCAGCAAACTTTCAAATATCACTAAAGCACATCTTGCCACTTATGCTGACCTCTGAGTGTCTTCATGTGTTGCACCGCCATACGGAGGACCGTCAGCTTATCCAGTTTGCGGGACATTGCGTTACAAGTGGGTACAAGAGAGGCCAGCTCGTCGATGAAGCTGTTCATCTTGTCTCTCCGACGTTTCTCAATCTGACTGTGAGCCTCTCTGTGCGAATACAGAAAACACAGTTACTCTTCTTGTCAAAACGACTAAATCCAGAATTCATCACTGATATCAAAGAAGTGAACTGATTTTCCACAGAGCTGAGCTGCTTTCTTGTACTGTGTATTAGCAAGCAGATAAAATAAAAATCTTTAATTATGCAATTCATCCTTGATTGAAAGAAAGACTAAAGTTGACGGAAACTGACTAACTTGCCCGTCCTGCTTTCACTCACATCAACAGCATGCTGTCTCAGATTCTAATTAACCATTAGATGTGGCCTTACAGGGCTTTCCTTCCTAATAACTACGTCTTATGAAGCTCTGTTTTCAATCAGGCCAGTGGCACCGAGTCAGTGAAAGAGAGATTAGATGGTAATGAGAGAGAGGAAAGAAGAGCAGCGTTTGTACCTGGCATTCTTAATCCTGCCCTGGTGGTCACTGCAAGGACAAGAGGAAGCGTTAAAAAGCAAAAAACGTGGTCCTGCAAGAAACATTACGGCTCCTGCAGTTGCAGAGACAAAAAGGTGAGAATTTGGCCCTCAGCAAAACCTAACAGGTTCTGTAACCTCATTTTTATGATCACGCAACAAGGTCAATGGAAGATTTGATTCAACTGTGCAACCTTTTCCTCTTTAAACAAGGCACAAAAATGGGGACAATTTCCACTACACCCAAGTCTTCCTGCTCAGAAAGAAATCTTAATTTATATATATATATATATATATATATATATATATATATATATATATATATATATATATATATATATATATATATATATATATATATATATATATATATATATACAATCATCATAAAGGGCTGGAATTTATTTTCCAACAGTACAAGACAATTACTGACACTTATTAAAGAGATCTTAAGGAGTAAAATAAACCAAATGTAATTTGCAGTCCCCACAATACTGTATTTTCCAACCACTATAACCCCAAAAAATAAAAATAAATCTAAAATCCACAGACTACATAGTTGACAGAAAAAAAAAATTGAGTTGTTTATCTAAGTATCCTGTGAAAGGATTTGGATACGTTGGCAGCTTGTAAAACATTGAAGGAAAGTTTTTTGTGCTCTGGGGTAGTGGAGTCAAACATCTGAAAATGTTTAGAAGTGATTGTGTAAAGAAAAATGGGTAAGAAAATAGCTTAATATATGAAAAAATTAAGATCTAACACAATAAACAAATTCAAGAAAAGATTATCCATTTAAAATATCAATGGAGGACAATTAAAAAGCCAGAACTTTACACGAAAACAAAAAAAAAAACAAGAGTCTTACCTCCCCAGTTTATCCTTATCTGGATCCATGTCACTAAAATGGAGGGGAAAAAAATATTTCACTGGAAATTTTTAAAACGGTAACAGAATTTTAGTCTAATTAAATACCATGGTAGAATATAACATTTGGTTTATTGACATTTTCAGACTTGTTATAAATAAATCAACAGAATATTGTTTGAACTTACTCAAATGAGAAGCCATCGATTCTGAAAAAAGTAAACAAGCACTTATTAATATCATCTAAGACGTGAAGACACACAAGATGCAAGTGTTTCGCTTTCTGTGTTAAACAAGATCTAGCAGAAACTGCTGAGATGGAAACATGTTTCAGTTCAGTGCTACGGTCTGACTATTTGCTGCTGCTTGAAAATGAACAAATGAGAAAACTCAGTGGTGTTTGTATCCTTACTGGTAGTCCGTGCTGCTGCCTTTCCTCTTGCGGTTGTAGTCCATGCCAGGCGTGCTGATGGAGCTGGAGATGAGATCAGTGGAGCTGGGGGACATGAAGTCAGTCATTGTAGACGAGATGTCCATCCGCTGGTCTGCCATCAGGTCATCTGCACAGCAAAGAATGACTGAGTAAGAGCATGCATGTGAAATTATTCAACAGCAGGAGTTATAGTTACCAAAAACTTTAAAAATACTCAAAAAATACGTTGTGGTAGAACTACAGCTGCGTTTAGCATGGAATAGTAGATGGCTTCTTGCTCAGCATCCGATTCCCTAGCATGTAAATCACCATCTGTTCTGAAATCATAATGTGCTGTGAGGTTTGCACAGTCAACCCGGAGCAATGTAATCAGATAACAAATGTTGAATTACTCCTGCAGCCTGAATTAGAATGTGATTAAGAAAATATTCACTTCACCAGTCCAATTCTAAATGTGGATGTTGGACAATAAATGGATTCATCACACACAGAGTGATGTTTTTAGTGTTTATTCCTATCAATATGGTCAAAAATGGTTTAAAACTGATGGAAATAAGTCCTTTTATCAGCATTAGAAAAAAATAAATTAAGGACAAAAACGTATATTTTGGCCTTTTTACGGCCAACACAGTCCTGAGCGCTGCCTTTCAGATGCCGAACTGAATGGGACTAACACTATCCATAGCGAGGCTCAGCCATAAGTGGTCCATGCCTAGAAAGATGGTGGTTAGTGCTGTATTTAAAAATATTAAAGTCTGATGAAAGGAAAAAATAACATTTTGTATAAAGAAGTTATGTGTCACGAATGGAGAGCTGTGAGACGTTTGCGCAGCCACAGTTAACACGTCAGCATGCCACAGGCTGACATTTATGCAAAAAGAACGCCAGCAAAGTATTCAGTGGATAAACTGTATGTGTACGAGGCTTTATTTTAATTTTTTGAGAAAAATTCTGGGTTTCCATTACTTCTACACCATAAACAAAGGAATGAAACAGAAAAAAAAAAGAAATTATAGCCACTGTTCACTTTAATTACAGAAATAAGTCTAATTTATTAAGTTCTGCCTTTCTAGATGTGGGTACTCTATTATCAGAACTCAAACTCCGCAGATTTGCTCAGAGCCTCTGACAAACAGCACTGATAATTGAGGTCTAGGTACTTTTTGCAAAGGCGGTAATTTACATAAATATCAGCAGTTTCTTGTCTACATCTGCGCATGAAACCTCAGTTATATGTGAGCACACTGTGCAAGAGCAAAGAGACAGTAATTGGTTGCCAGAGCTAATTTGAATTAGGCAAATGTGCAATCTGTAAATTGCTGCAATTTACCAAGTGCAAACATCCTGCAACGTTTCAGTGAATCAAGCTCTGAAGATTTAGTCCTCATCACATGCACTCCAGAAAGGAATAAGTAAATCATGCACAGGTGAGTCAGACCAACGGCAAAAAAGTTTCACAGGAGTGATAATTGTTATGAGTGAGTGTTCACATTTGTAGGCCCGATGCTGACTAACAAACCACAGCGTGTGCAGAACTAGTCATGTTTGCTCTGAGTGCAGAACTCTCAAAATAATGACGTCAACGTCAACTCTGGAAATATCTGCAAAATCTTCTAGAGTTGAATAAAATACTGCATGTGGAGAAAAATTACAAGAGTTTTACTGCTAAAAGCTGCAGCGTGTAAAGAGGTCACACTCACCACAGATGTTCATCACAGCCTCTGTACTAAAATCATCTCCTTCCATCCACTCTTGAGCCCTCAACTGTAGACACACAAAAGGATCCGTTTTAAGACCTTCAGACATGAGATGTGGAGCTTTTACAAAGACTTTACCGTTTAGCAAGTCAGACATTCTAGGAATCATAAAATAACCAGAAGCAGCAGGGTTCTTCAATTACTCATATAGTCATCAGTAAAGGAGGTAATCTGTCAGACACACCCAAACCAAAGAAGCAAGTAATTTCTCAAATTAGGTCATTATTAAATGCTGACTCAGATTTTAAGAAATTGAGGTGGTCTGGCTGCAAAATGAGCCCAGATCATTACTAGTCCACCATTGTGTTTTGATGTCAGCAAGACCTTTTCACTAACTTGCCGTTTTCGCTTTTCTTTCTTTCTATCTGATAGCAACATAAACAAACGTCTGTGTTTTGATCTGGTTTTAATACAAAACATTGTTCCGAATAATAATAAAAAGACTTTTGTTTATACGAAGCTTTGAAAATTGGTAGCCATAACAATAGACTCCAAGTAAATTGTTGGGGAAAATGACTCACAACTCTTCAAAAAAAATTTTTTTTTTTATTCCTTTGCATCATTGAATTAATATGCTGGCAAATGGTCATACCTAAAGAGATGTATATATTTGAACTGAGAATACTTTATTGCTAATCTTCAAAACTTTGTAATGCAAAGTTTTGAAGATTTTACAGAAGCTCAAAGTTGAACACAATCAGTTCATGATTGTGTATGAATTGATTAGCATTACAGGATGATGCTATAATTGATTGATTTGTATGATTTGGGTTTTGTGATGCATCTGAATAGGACGTTTCAGGGAGAATCACCATGTTTCCTTCCTCTACCTTCAGAAATCACCTAGTCCACATTCATTATAGTTTTGGAGGGAACCTGTGGCACATGGAAACACAGAGCTGCTTCAGATACCTGAAAAGGAAACTTGAACAGGCTTCCTGGACGCGCCTGGTGTCGTCTGGATCAGTCTGGTCCACTTCGTTCTGATCTGCTCCGAGTCTGGTTTGATTCAGTCTGACCTAGTTTCATCCGCTTTGATGTGGTTTGCCTTAATATGATCTGATCCTTATACAGCTGGTCTGGCCTGTCTGCCTCTTAAAAGAGGGGGGAGAAAAAAAGAGAGAGTCAAAAAGTAATCTCTTGTAAAAATACATAATAAAAACACATTAAACATAAGTAATCTTTGCAATTACAGTGGGTTTATGCATTTATTTGAGAATCTTACTAAAACGTACATGAAGACAAAACCAGATGCTCTTGGAAACTTGTCTGTAAGGTGTAAACACTCGTTCAAAAAAAAAGGTGGCTCAAGCTAAAAAGACTTCCATATTTCACCATATGTGTGTTTTGAAGAACACTATCTGATAAAGCCTGCACATTTTTGTTTTTATCTTAAAGCACAAGCAAGCATCCATGTGCTAATTTCTAGTCCAAGACAGCGGCGCCATTTTTGCCAACCGGTTTCTCGCCAGTTGTTTGATTTGTTCGATTTTAGGGGAGCGCAGACATTAAACATACCCTATTTCCTTAATTCATATAATTATTTGCCCTTTATCAAATAAGTCTTTATCAAATAAGACTATTTGAACAAATTAAATGCAGCACAAACAAGTATTTCAGAGCTTATTCTATCTTTTTAATAATAGGTCAGAGGTAAGTTTTAAATATTCATTTAAATATGGTCGATAAAAAGAGTTAAAGTTGGGAAAAAGGCCTCCCAAGAGACCAAAGAACTATTTTTGAGAACCACTTTAAAATGTTACAAACAATCTCAACCTCTTAGTATGTAAAAACTGAAAAATGTGTATTGGGGAAAAAAGCGCCACTAATCAATATTTATACCATTTACCAGAAAAATGTTTAACACAGAGAAGAAGAAAAAGAAAAACAAGTTCACAAAAAAGCATTTAAAAAAAAAAAAACAGGCTGTTAATAAAAGGTAAATGCATGACCAGAGCGCCCCACTGCAGGGACAAAGCAGTGATCCAGAAGGGGAGGGGAACCCGCCATGTCATCATTAAGTACTAAAAGGAACTGGTGCTGGAGTGGAAACTGGGTCACTCAGTCTCTATGGTCTCAAACCAGTCAGCCTCGATTTCCGTCCACCACCTACTTCTACCTCATCAGTGAGTCAGCAAGACATTCAGCTCTTTTCTCCCTGCTCCACACCCACTCAGAAATCCACGCTGATGAAACGAGGAAGGACCCTCAGAGCAAGATGGCTGCTGGAGCTTCTCAACGCTTCCACTTCAATCAAACATATCTGTTACGAGGTCGACATGTTTTCACAAGGGCATTGTTGGGAAATTCTGTCGACAACATTATACATTTCTGGCAACAACAAAAAAAAAGAAAGATAGAACCTATGTGGAATTTTCCCTTCATAATTTTCAGAGGACACAAATTGGCCTAATCTCCTTAGAAATAAAGAATTTCTGAGCTTTTCTGGGTCAAATTACAATGAGTGTTTAGCAAGCATGGGAATGAGAACAACAAGGCAACATCTACACATCAAAAATAAAAATAAAAAAAACAAAAACAAGAATATTGTTTACAGCCACAAAAGCAAAAAATGCAGAGTGGCAGAGGAGAAAAAGATATGTTTTAATTAAAGAAATTCAGTGCCAAATTACTAAACATTGCACTGAAATTAAATAGTGAAATTAAATCTACTGACAGGTGAAGCAAATAGCTTTCATCATATTAGTCCAGTAAAATGTTGCTTACTCTGACAAATATTATCCTTTCAATCCTTTTGCAGGGCTATGTTTTTTAATACATAGCCCTGCTATATAGTCCGCACAATATTTATGATCAATTCCACTCGCCCCATCACTTTAACTGATCCACTCCCCACTTCAATTTCACTGAATGCTTTACTGCAGTTCAACAAAAAGACAATAAATCTAATATGCCAGATAAAAATCATAAACTGAGCCTGAGTTAAAACAAACAAAGATTTTTTTTTTTAAACATTCATATTTTTAGAACTTTCTAAACCTTTCTGATGATGAACTGGATTCGCTCTCAATAAATCCTGAAAGCTTTGACAGCGAAAGTAAACAGCGCAGGCAATTTCCTCATGTTTTAGGACCGAGTTGTGCAAAAGTCTAGTACAGAGGCATCATGTTGTTTCTTCATCAACAGACTTTGGACCCAAATTGATGGAGAAATCTTCCGCCTAACCCGAAAAATCAGGAGCAAATAAAAGAACAAACAGTATGTAAATTTTGTGTTTTAATAGAGGTAATAAATTCAGCGTTGAGCCATTTTAAATTAACTCAAACTTAATTGCCACAACCGAGTGACATGAACAGTATTAATAATATTTTTAGATCCATTTTCATGTCTTTAGTGTCTCATTCATGTCTTTTTTTTCTTTATACCATATTTATAAACAACCCAGAGGGGGTAAAATACATGCATCTTTTTGCAAAATGTTTGTTTTACTTTATTTTAAATCAAAAAGTGATGTGATCTAAAAAGGATGACAAATGTCTAATTTTAGACATTTGTCAAACATGATAATCTGTCTTTTTGCAATGGTTTTGCACTGTTTTATGTATGTGGACAGAGGACAAAAATGGCACTTAGCATTGTAAAGGCTCCAGACCACAGTCCTAAACACAGGCTTCTTTTAAAAACAAAAGTCCACAAGCAGATTTGAACAGCAATGTCCTCGTTTTCAGAGTTTCCTTTGCTCGAAGAATATTGGGAAATACTGAATACTCAAAGCGAATAGAGCAAAGGTTTTTAGAAAAATATTCAACCTCACCAGACGATTAAAAACCACGTATGAATCTAGTTTAACATCTGAACTCTGGCAATAAAACAAGCCTGTGAAATAATCTCTAAACGATCAGCCAGAAGTGAATGAGTTCATCTCGATCAAATGTGCATGTGTCATTCTACTCTGTGTATGTGTGCAAAACGTGACAAACCGTGTTTAGCATGGTAAGAAAAAGTGCATGGTCAATATGGCAGGTTCTCTGCAGACCTTATCAGACACTACCTATCAGAATAATATTATGTATTGTTTGACTTGGCAAAGCTTTCTCATTGTGATTGTTTTCTGGTGGCAATCAATAAACACTTTTCGGTGCGTGGGAGGGGAAGCCTTGTTTCTGGTTTACAAACACCTAATCAACAATCTGATCTCTGGTATTGGAACATGTTCCTGATGAAGATATTTTGGATGGATCAGTATCAGAACGGGTCACAGCATCAGTTGCACATCGCCATCATCAACCGACCATCTTTGATTGCACATCAGCTGTCAAACACTGAGCAGGAACCTGCCGCCATGTCTGTGGTATGGAACTATTAGAAAAAAGAAGACGCAGAGTAAGAGCCACTTAAGATATTGGCAATTCAGGTCTTTTTTTTTTTTTAAATAAAACAAGTTGTTTGCGTTACAAGTATTTTTTTTTTGCTTTAGAAGCACATTGACTTTAGTAGACCTAGATAAGCCTTTGTACAATTTATCTGTTTGTTTACAACTTTTCATGAAAAAGCGGAAACCCAAACAAGCAGAATGCTCATAAAAGCTGGTGGGTGTGTAAAAAACCGCAATCTTTACTGTAAAATTTTATTGGCTTTAGTTATTTTATTAGCATGTTTTGATCTCCATGAACATTCCCTGCAATGTTCATGGAGATCACAAGACCTGAGCAATATCTTTGTGTAATACAATACTGTCCCCTGATTTACATCTTTGGGTGCCTGAGATGCTAAAGTTGAAGGTTTGATGAGGACATTGTACATTGGTAAATAAAACTTTGGGTTAGGTGCCAGCAAATATATATTTTTCTTATGTTTTGCTAAGAGACATTAATTGAACAGTATTTAGCTACATTCAGTGTTAAATGGCGGTCTTGAGCAGCAGCAAGGAGACAGAAGTGGTGACTCAGCATTTAAGTTTCATTTAGAAAGAAAAGAAATAAAAACAGATAAATAGGTCAAAGTGACACAGAGTTTAATGACGTGGTGATAACTTTAGTGCATCACTGGTGGACTTGACGTTAGAAATGCAGACAAAATGTGATAATCAGAGGGCACATTCAGACAACCTACAAGAGAAAGCCTTCCAACTCTCGAGCCACAAATTTGGGCTTTCTGTATGACTCATCAAGTTTCCATACTGAGAAAAAAAAAAGAGAAATCACATAATTATACACAATAAGTCACAGTGGGGCTACCAGGCTGACCACAATTTTTGTAACAGTTTCTGTCGCACCACCCACTGTCCTACTTTTATCCTTGGCTATCACTTTGTTTTTTTTACAGAAATCATTAATTGTCTTTGTAATCAAGTCTTTATAGTCAACAGCTTTGGTAAATCATAACAACAAAATGATGTTATCACAATACCTTGTTGGCAACATTCCAGCATAGATAAGCAGTCGTGTGTATTGCTTCTTGTTTAGAAAAAAAAGGAACAACACGTGTAAGGCTGAAGTTCACCAAAGAGCTCATTTCTGTCACGAAAAGGTTAATGCATAAGCTGCTGATACAAATAAAGCCACAAAATGAATGCCTACATAAAAAAAATACAAAAGCTGCAGACCTTACAATCCAAGTGGTTTCAGCCACACATTATCAAAATAAAACAACGACTTAATCAAAATCTATTTTACTTTCAAATTGGAAAACCAGTTTTCCAAGGTCCAATGAAACTAGAATTCCCAGCTGGAAATTCATATGTTCGTATGTTTCTTCCCAATCCTGATCTCAAATGCCAATATGGCCGCCTGCCACATAAAACCAAAAGCACCTTCAGAGCGCTATTTATCATGTTTGCTTCTCATTAAAAGTCTTCACACATCAGAGATGAGTAAACATGTCGCTGCAGTGTTTGCAAGTTCAAAAGCCAGGGAAACTCGTTACTAGTTTGTGTTGTTATTATGTATTAGCTCGGTGACCGAGCAAGTCGGTTATCAAATTCTACTTAGCTGGAACACCATTCAGTTTCGTTTGAGGTCATTAGCAGAGACAAGCTCAAACTTTACCAGTAAATACAGTAGAAGTTGCCACCAACACTTTTTCTGGTCATCACACACTGCAGGTAGTCAAGATATGTTCATATTTCCGTGAAATTTATTAGGAAAAAAAAGGGGTGGGGAGCAAAAAAAACTACAGTGTTTGAAACTCTAATTTTAGGTGTTGATAACTCAAGTGGTACCAATGTTACTCTGACGTCTTTATTGATGATTATACTACTTACTCACTTCAGTCACCTTAAAAAAACACACACAAAAAAACCCTATCCTAATTAATCCACAAATCCAAGTTCCATAAAAAAAAAAAAAAAACAATTTCCAAGTGGTAGGGTTAAAATGCAAGGTGAATGTTTGTTTCCAGGCAGAATATTATCTTGTGCTGCTTTTAAATACGAAAACATCAAATTATGCAGTTATGACGGTGATCTTTTCCATGGCAAATCAACTGGGTGGCATTTAATTGAATGCAGAGCATTCATTCAAGGCAGTTTGTTGTCACACCAATATCTACAACTTTTTTCAATAAAGACTTTTGCATCAATTATGTCGGGTCACAATTTTCAAAGGCTAGAGTTTAAGCTACAGAAACAATCTTTCATCATTTACATTTTTTTTCCTCCTTCAGAATAAACTCGCATACATAAATACATCTTTTATCCACATCAATGAATTAATCAGAGTCTTGTGTAAACAGAAAACAAAAACAAGCTCATGCTCAGATTACACAGTGAACATAATATCAAAGATTTATTTTGAAGTTGGCGAATTTGCATTGATTCATCACCCACACGAGATTATCGAGAAAGAGTGGTCGCCACATTTGTATTATTATTAAATATATATGTATATAAATAGCCACAGTCAACACCTCTGATGTGTCATGACGTTTTATAACCAAAAACACGGATCTGCCCTTTCAGAGTTGCGGGTCCTGACTGGTTAGGGAGTTCAAAAGTTATCGCAGCAGGATGGATGCTCTCGAAGACACGGTGTACTAAGATACCTTACCAAGGCCTGTTTACATTGCTAGCGTGTTAGCAGCATTGAAAACTGAGGTCACGCCTGGCTAACATTTCCACCGGCACATACCTGGTGCCCGGACATAATTAAAGTCTCAACAATTTTCTGGCAACAGTCGAAGCCACCTCCCGGAACAATAGCGTTGTATTTCATCTTTTCTCCACATGTACAAATTGTCTCATTGGCTAATATTAGCATTTTGTAACAGCTAGCAGCGGAACGCAAACTGTCATGACTTGGCCAGTGAGCTAACGTCCCTCCTTCTGCTCCACAAAACCGCACTGACATGACCACAGAGCTGGGAAAACATCGACGATGTCCATCACGGATTAAACGCCCGGTAAAGCCGCAGATGCTTGTTATTAATAAAAAACACAAAATCGACAGCATATCGTACTTACATGTGCGATAAAGTCCGTCCGTCCATTGAAACTCGCTCGTAATATGCGATAGCAACACGGAGACCTGTGACATAAACGATTTTCAATCGGTGACCCAGTTTCTCTTCGCCGTCATGCCTGTCGGACCACTAACCTAGTTTTTCAACCAATGGAGTTCGCCATTCCGCCGTCTGCGTCTCTCAAGCCAATCAGATGCAAGTTCAGGATGGTGGCTTGTGACGGACGCGGCCGCTAGCCAATGGGGGCGAGATGTGAACGGAATGCAGAGGCCAATGTGTGTGTGAACGTGTTACGGAAAAAACACAATGCAACAGGCCATTTCGCTGGCGCTCTGCCCGATAGCCTTTATGATTACTTTCAGTCTTTAAATAGATTTATTTGCAGTCTTCTTGTATACCTCTATTTAGTGTGGGTCAAATGATATATTTTATAATTAAACATTTTTACTATTTTTTATTTTATATTTTGTTCTCAGTTCACATTTTTATTTATCCATTTTAGATTTGGAATTTTATATATCATTTTAGTGTTAAGTTGGAATGCGTTTTTTAAAAAAAGTGTATTGTTATACTTCTCATCATCCAAGACTTCAAGAAAAAAAGTATTGTTTTTCATCAATTTTACACAATTACGCCTCCTGCTGGGTATATATTCAGACCTTCTCTTGCTTAGGTGATTTTTTTAAATGGGGTATGATTTCTGGGGTTTTATTTAAATAATGACACACTCATTAAACATAATGCACACATTTCTGTTTAACCCTGTCATTATTCAGTATTAATGCAATCAAGAATATACACAATTTGAAAATATTTTTCTCTTACTGACTAATAGAATTTGTTAATGATGCTATTTAGCTATTTGATGCATTACTGTATTCCATATTAGAGATTAAATTTTTGTTTGATGTAATTATACATTTATGATAGAAAATGTATAGACATTTTATATATAATTTGATGGATGCATTTTCAATTACTGGGTTCGGATAAAGCACAAATGATTCCTGCAACTTAAAAACGTGAATTGGAAAAACTGATTAATTCATTTTTGGTTGCTGCTTGCAGATTACAACTCCATCCGTTGCCACAAATTCTAGCAGAAATACTTTGGCAAAGAAGCGACGCCAACTTTTTCACAGTCTTCTGAACAGATGATCTGCAGTTTTTTTTAAAGTGGCTCTCCGCAATCCTCTTTTCAGATCTGCACTGAGCTCCTTAAACCTATCCACTGAATGATCCAGTGACTGCTGTCAAACATCCTCTTGTAACAGTACACAGAAGCTGTACAGTTAGATGTGATCTGTACTGGGAGGTTAAGAGGTTTTGGCAAGTTAAAACACATTGTGGGACATCCTGTACTACTACAACAGTGCTTGCAAGTATTTATGTTTATAATAATAATAATAATAATAATAATAATAATAATTATTATTATTATTATAATAATAATAATAATAATAATAATAATAATAATTATTATTATTATTATTATTATTATTATTATTATTATTATTATTATTATTATTATTATTATTATTATTATTATTATTATTATTATTATTTGTGCCCATATTAATAATTTATATCATATTGTGATTTCAAAATGCATGGAATTACAATAGGATTTGTGATTTTTTTTATTTCCTTTTCTGATAGAACCATGACTTTCAATGTATTCGATGAGATTTTATGTGATGTGCCAAGAAAAAGGCACTGTGCAAATGTGTGCATAGGAAAATGACACATAGTTTTCCCATTTTTCATATGCAACAATTTCAATTTCAGTTAAAATGAAACTTGGATGTAGGTTTAAAGGTTTACCTTTAGTCTAATCTCTGTGTGCTTCATTGACTGTGGGAAACATTCTTATGGATTACTTCTATTCAAAAACAATCTTTCAAAACTTAGGATTTCACAATATTATATAATTTTGAAGGTATATATTCTAGCTAACATATTATGAAAAACAACAACAATGTAATTACGTGGAAGGGGAACAAAAACATCCTGCAAATTGCTAAGTATTACAATATTTAACCGCCTTGTCAGTGAAAACAAAACTGACATTTCTGAACAAATAACATCAGCAGGCTTTAAGAAAGGTAAAAACTATAGTGATGAAAAGCCTTTAAACACCGTTTTAACAGGACAAGTGGCTCCAGTTCTTTTATGGCGTCACTAGATGGCAGCAATGTATCCTAAATCGACTCAATATGATAGAAGTAATTTTCCTTCCCATCTAAATATTGTGTCCATTTAACGATGTCAGAGGGAAAAACGAGTTCAAATATTGCAAACATATGTCGAAACAGTCGCAGTGGTTTTGTTTTCGTTTTATATATACTGTAAATATATGTTCCATTTCCTTCTAGTTTTTAGCGCAGTATTTCCGAAGAGTCAGTGAAGGCGTCGCGCGTATCACATGGCAGGTGTCATTAGTTGGGGGAAGCTCGCGCAGCGGCGCAGCGAGAGTCAACTGCTCATACAGGTCGGACCAGCTTGTGACATCTGGGCGTGAGAGGGCCATGCGTGCCCGAGCCGTGGAGTTTGCCTTGTTTTAGAGCCTGGCTCCACCGAACGTGTTTGAAGGAGGACAGAAGCGCACAGACTCGGATATAGTAAGTTATATATGACTCCAAGAACGTACTGTAATTCCTGTAGAGGTTTCTGTTTACTTTGGACTTTTTGGGGGGTGCTGGGAGATGGTAAAAACAGACTGAGGAGAGTTTACAGTTCCGCTTTGGGAATTGAGATGCTATGTCCCCAAATAATTACTTTTATTGCATTTTTATAAAAACAACTTCAGCCTTTGTTGTGGGACCTTATGTGTGTTTGTGGCGCCCAGTGGAGCTTCCATATTTCACAACAGTTGTAAAATAGGGATCACCATTTGCAGCAGCCTGGTTGTGGATATTCTCCGGACAGGAATTGTTGTGCAACATTTTAGAGTCACATGACGCATTTCATTTCGTTTTGGCAGCAAATTTTACTTCTAGACATGCTCCAGGAACCCAAACATTGTGTTTTGTTAAAAGTCTCCCAGTTGTTTTTGTTTTAGACCACACTGGCTCAGTCTTGTTCTGCAAGCTTAGGGCTGTCAGCCATGCTGTGTTAATGCAGATCATCAATTTCTGACATCATGCGTTGAAAGAAAAAGTGGGGGTGGAATAGGTTGCTGCTGATATGCTAATCACAGAAAATCAAGGCTGATATGTGGCTCCCCTCCGCTGCAGCAGATGCTCCATCTAACTCTGGAGATACTAAACACACACATACACACGCACACTCAGGCAGGCATGAACACATACATCAGAGAGGGCCAACTTGAGAGAACTGAAGGAGCCTCCTCACTGTGAATACAGCCGGCCGGTGCCTCTTTCTGGTGCAAATCTCATTTAAAAAGAGAGTTGAAAGGCATCATTGCTGCTGACGACAGTGAATTGATTAAGGCTGCTCTGGTTGGCACTTGGGTGGCATTAGCACTCAGAAATGAGAGGAAATAAAAGCTGGAGCCTGGGTGAAGAGGCAATTGATGGGGGAGATGGGGTCCAAAACAATAAAAGAAAAGTATTGTTGCAACAGTCATCGAGCTGTTTACTCAGACATAAGTACTAACCAAACTGACTGTAAGAGTAGGTTTTTGGGTGGTGCCATCCAAAAACCTACTGTGCACGGATCCAGCAGATGATGGCACTCATCCCTGTGATCAAAGCGGGTTGTGTAATTCTAAGAGCTTTCGTTTTCCTCCGCAACCGTACAGAGTAAGGTGGTTCTTGTCGTCTTAACTGCTGCTGTTGCTCCTCACACCACAACTGTGGTTTCAGCAGATATAATTCACTGCTGCTCCATGGCAGGCGGGGATGAAGCAGAAGAGAGGGAGATGATAAGAGGAGAGATGTTTGGGAGATTAAGTCAACGAGAAAGGAAAGGGAGCAAAGTGAAGGGGGGGAGGGTACAGGAAAACCATTCCAGGTTTTAAAATACAAAACATAATCCTTTCTTTTCTTAGCCCATAAAGGAAAAGTTGAGAACACAAAAAATTAAATAAGTTTAGTTTGTTAGAGGGTCTGTTTGGTTTGCTGTCAGGCGAAGAAAAAAAAATTAGAAAACAGCGGCAGGGAGAAGCAGCACTATGCTGCAGGGTTCCTAGAAGCCTGGAAATTAAGTTATAGTCTTTTTCAGTATGGTAAAATGGATTTTTTAGACTCCATTTCCTATTCCATTGTCTGAAAACTGTTTCCATCCATCGTTTTAAAAAAGGGAGAAATTATGATGCCGTCGGCGCGGGACACCTGTTGCCATTCCTCACTGTCAGCCTTTTTTCTTTGTAAACTCACAACTGTACAGGATATCATCTTCTTCACTCATGATTTATGAACTGGCAGAGAAATCTCAAAGATAGCTTGCCTTTGCTGGTTTACAATAGAAATATTTTGTTAAAGACTTAACTGAAGACGCTTATTAGCAGAGCTCTGGAGAGTTTGACTGCATGCTAGTGAGACAGTTTAGCCATTCATTTCAAGTGTAAAGGACAAAGGACACATCCAAAAGTTGCAGTTTTCTCGTCTACTTTGGGTGCATGCACATTTCAGGAGCTTTAGAACACCCATCATGCACAAATTTATGCCCTAAAAATTGGTGTGTGAGCATCTCTGTAGACAAATCTCACGGTTGGAGTTGTCAGAAACAATCTCAAACCAACCAGCTGAAAGGTGGAGGAGGAAGGAGGTGAGGACGCGGAGAGGCATGAAAACGATTAAAGCGAATGAGTGTCATGGAGAGCTCAGGAGAGTGGAAAACACGGATGATGCATGATTCGGGAAATGAGGGGGAGAGACAAATGCAGGATTATTAGTGACAGAGATGAAGTTAGAAGAGGTGTTCAGTTATATGTTATGTTGGGTAATGTAAGAAAGGTTTGTGTTTTTGGAAATGATCAAGAATTTTAGAATCTTTAATTATTCGGCTAATGCATAAAGATGTTGCTAAAATATTTAAAGCAATGCATCTGAAGTTATTCAAATTATTACTGACAGTTCTTTGAGAGATGAAAGTGAAAGGTAGCGGGGTGTCAATTAATCAACTTGAGATCAGAATCAGGCAATTTTCCTTTGTGTTGGA